CCGTCCTGGTCACACGCTTTAAAGCTGAAGCGATAGAGAGCAAAAGAAGCATCAGTGGATGAACCCAAATGGACGTGGCAGAGTGCGCCGTCAGCAGCTGCAGGCTTTGAGTCAGGTGTCACTTCACCTTCTGCACCTGCAGATCTGCTCCTTTCAAGTGGACCTGAAGAAAAACTCCCACTGTTTATAGTCATTTATCATGGCAATAATTCATTTTTTTGTTTTGTTTAGTTTTTTTGTTTTTGGTTTTTTTAAAACTGCCTTCAGAGTAGTATAACCATGCCAAAAAGTCACAACTAGGCTTAAGGTTGGGATATCCATCAAATTCAAGTCCTCATTATCCAAAAAGCTATTTGCGGCTCAAACTTGATCTGTTTGGCTGTGGTGAGAAGTATATTGCATCATGTCTTTGCTAACATTCCCTGTGGTTGTGAGTGTTTCTCCCCACCACAAGGACGGGTCTGATTACAAATTCCAACTTCATGTAACTGAGTCACAAAGATAAAATCACAGAGATTCAGCTGAGTTCAAGCACAAAAAAGAAAACTTTTCATCATTTATTATTAGTATTTCATAGTTACCTATTTTGAGTTGGGAAAATGTTAAATGTTAAATTGCTCTTACTTTGATTCCACACCGCAGCAAACAACATTATGATAATTAATACCAAGAGTTTTTTTTTTTTTTTTTTCTTGTTTTGTAAAACTCAGTTAAGAAAGCTCATTTCAACCTCCTGGAGTGAAAAGAAAATAAATACACAAACACAGATGCCAGACCAGCATGGGGCAGGTTAAGTGGTGCCTTCTACTTTCCACTACAGGGGGCAGTAACAGGAGCGTGCAGAGGCAGGACAGATGGAGACAACTCAAGCAGAAATCGGACAAAAAATAAAGTGAGTAGATTGCAAGATTGCTTGTCATAGTTAGGTACATCTGCTACGATTGTTTTAGTAGGTGCTACAGTTTTAAAAAAGGATTTTAAAACTAACTAGTTACTAATTTTTGCAATTGTATTTCATATTTTATATTCAGAGATAATCTACAGGTCTTTTGCCTTTTAGGGCATTTTGGATTTGCTGATGAATACTGCCAGTGGTCCTAACCAGTGGCTCATTCATTCTCTGTGGTGGTGCCTCACAATGAGAATGCAATGTCTTTTTGGTCACTATGCTCAAAATTGGGAGTCATATTTCCCCTCTACTGTAAGTGTGTGTGCAAGGCTTTCTGCAGGTCAAAAACATAACATAGCTCATTTAATTTAATGATTAAAGGTGCATTGTGTAACTTTTCTGGTGAAGGGTCCATCAAATGCTTTTCTCCATGGAGATGTTATTGCTTTGTCTGGAATGTTTCACAGTTTGGTATTAAACCTTTCTATCATCATGGAGCCCAAACCAGACCAAGTTACACTTCAGATCTGTGGAGCTGCAACCCTGTTTTTTCAGTATTTTTGAGCTATAAAACCACCTGTAATTGAATAAATGTAAAGTAGAGCTGCTTAATGTCATACTGTGGAACATTCCTGGCAGAGAAAGACATATCCATAGAAACAAGCAATGTTAAGTAGCATGCTAACGTGCACTTCCAGATTATCAGACAATAAAACACTTCATAATTACATGCAGACGTCACACAACATAAATTTTTTTACCTCAAGAGCTCATTTTACGCGAAATGTCCTGGGGCGAGACAAATGACCTCAAATAGACTGGAAACATCATGTACAGGACTTTTAAAAACAAACTAAAAACCTCAGTGTTTCTGCCAGACTACTTTTAACTACCTTCACCTCTTCAATTTAACAGCTCCCGAAAGTCAGATTAGCACAACAGGGACGCGCACAGGAAGATCATTCAAGGACATTGCTTTGAAGAAGAGAGCAGTTTGTCCCATCTGCTCCACTGTACTCACATAGACGCTGTAGGTGCACACACTGTGCTGGGGGCTGGTGTGTCACTGGGCCTGGAGCTTCAGCAGATAACGTTCCTCCTCTTCTTCTCTGTTATCACCGCCTGGATGCCACTACAGGAATTAATCAGCCCGACCTATGATGAATTAGTTTCCGCGGCAATAGCGAGATAATCAGCAAGCTCCGATTCAGTCAAGAATAGAAGTGTTCATTTTGGATGCATCACAGCGACTTAATACTGGAGCTTAAAGGTGCACTGTGTAACATTTCTAGTGGAGGGTCCGCCACCTGCTTGTCTCCATGGAAGTGTTATTGCTTTGTCTATGTTCCGATGATTACAGCACTACGCCTTAATCACAATCACGCTGTCATTACAATTCTGTGGAGATCTGTGGAGAGTCGCGCTGTTCAAAGAAAGAATTATTGTATTTTTGAGCAATAGAAACAAAAGTGAATGAATGCTAGATGGAAAGGTTTTGTGTCATACCATGGAATATTCCAGGAAAAGCAATAACATCTCCATGGAAACAAGTCGGTAGTGGAAAAGAAAAAAAAAAAGAAAAGTTGCGCAGTGAGCCTTTAAGTAAATGTTGACACTAGGGGGTGTGCAAAAATATCAAAATATCGATATATCGTATCGTTTAATGTGATGATACAGTATCGATATCGTGGACTGCTTTATCAGTGTATCACCAAGAGTATTTTTTGGTGTATTTTACTCAATTATTTTGTTACAGAGTGACAGTTTTGTTGCTTGTTTAGTGGAAGGAATGCAACACATTTGACATTTTCACAGTTTTGATGAGTAAAATGTTTTTTTTTTTCATATTCACTTTGTACAAGAAGTGGTTTAACAGACTTTTAGTATCACCATGATTTAGCTTTTATTTTTTATTAAACTGTATCGAATCGTTTTGAAATATGTCGAATCAAATCGAAAGTGCACTCTATCGAGATATGTTTCGTATCGCGTTCTATGTATCGAGTCATGTATCGTATTGGCAACTTCTTAATGATACCCAGCCCTAGTTGACACGTTGTACATGTATGAATTACCACAACCGTTATTCCAGTTAATCCAGTATATATGTCAGGATACATGTGTGTTTACATATAAGGTCATATAGTGGGAAAAAAAAGAGGGTGGAACACAAACGGCATATTGTAAGTGGTCATATTAAAAAAAAAAAAAAAATCTGAAAAAACTGATAATGGTACTGTTTTATAATATTTTGAGACATATTATTTATTTCTATCTAAGCTGCTTCCAAATAAGACTGAGAATGTATTAAACAGCAAGTGGATTAGGAGCTATAAGCGTCTTACTGAGGTACTTAACTTCAGCCAATAAAATGTATTTTATTAGAGAAAATATATATAGCATGGAATTGATATCATAACACTAAACCTCAGCAAAGCTAATTATTTGTTATGGATATGGAAAGCCTGGGCACACATTTTGGCCTGTGTCTGTCATTATTCATCAACATCACAGCAAATACACTGGTGTGACCTCTGGGGCTTTGGAGAACTGCAAAGGAGTTGCTCAGTTTTGACATTCAAGTGTGATTTATGCTTCTCTGCCAAACACTAAAACCTATTTGGTGTGAAAGTGATCCCTGTCAAACTGTCAAACAATCACTTTAGTGCACTTTCACATCAATTCAACGCTGCTTAAACATTAGGTATGTTTGGCCTGAACAGTTTTTTTCTTTCCCCTTTTTTGTTTTTGGTTTGTTTTGACAGACATTTAAGTGCACTGTTTAACTTTTGGGGTGGAGAGACCGCCTCCGTGGTGATGTCGTCCCTTTGCCTGGAGATTTTTCACGCCATGACATGACTTTTCTGGAGGAGGGTTCGTCCAGTGCCTTTCTCTGTGATGAGGTGTTATTACCTTTGTCTGGAATGTTTCACAGTAAACATTTCTATCTTCATGGAGACCAAACCAGATTGTTACAGGTCATATCTGTGGAGAGGCAACACAGCTGACAGTCAGAATGTCTGCTTTTCTGGGTAGTTTGAGTTATAAAACTATACAAACTTAATAAATGTAAGGTCCAGTTTCGTTTACACTAGAATGCAAAAAAAAAAAAAAAAAAAAGCTGCTGGACTGGTACCAGAAAAGTTACATAGTTCAACTTTCTGATTTGAACCTCCAGAACATGCGTTATCATTGTGAACTGTTGACTGCGGTGATGTCGAGGGCATGAGTAAGCATGAGCAGAAGTGTGGTTTAACACTGTTCTGCTGCTGGCTCGCACACAGAGACTCACACAGAGATCCACTGTCATTCAGTTTAAACACTAGTCACAGCACATGCTTTCGGATTTTACACACACACTTCAACAAATGTGCTGCAATAAATACGATCTGAACATGTTATGTTTCAGTTTCGTGTCTTTTTGTTTCAGTTGTTAGTTATAGGAGCATCTCTTATGTTTGGGAATGAATCACTTGTAAAAACAGTCCCGCTGACTCTTACATGATCTGCCTTACATTAGGTTTAACATCATTTGATAAATAAAGCCATTGCCTGCTTGTATTTTGATTAATTTAACTTCTCACAAGAACCAAGACTTTCCTCAGTTTACCCTTGGAAATACCAGGCACCACTGTGGGTCAGCTGTGGTTGTATAACTGTCCTTAGGCAAGGCACTTCACGTTGCCTATCAGGGAGTTAGACATTTCAGTCATGCATTTAGTGTTTGCCAACCAGAACCAAATAGAGAAAATAATATTCATTTATGTTATTAAATTCACAAGTGATATACAAGTAATACTATAATAAAACCACACTGGTAATACTAATGTTATACTAATGAATGTTTCGACTTATACAAGTATCTTTAATCCCATGTGGTTTTATGTTAGTTGAATTATAAATTAAAACCATTCTACAACTCTTCTGGAAATCTGCAGTTTTGTGTCATTTTGTCTGTACTAGATATGTCCAATACTTGAACAAATGAACATCTAGTTTGGATTCTAGCTTTATTAATAATCTGGGTATCTTTTTTTTTTAACCTTGCACATATAAGCACAAAACATCGACTGTTAAATGTAACAGTGTCATATACTTTGCAGAGTTATTTTCAGGCAGGACACACGGTCTGGTCGTCTCTCAAAGTGCTGATGGTCTTTCCGTGGAGCTGCTGAGGACTCACGCAGCGCAGAGAGGGGGACACAGAGCTCTGGGTTTGGCTCAAATACTGCACCAGGGAGCGGATGTGACAGTCACAGTGCCACGGGTTATCATGGAGGTGGAGCTTCTTCATGTCTGCACACAAAAAACAGGGTTGAAAGAAAAATACTCTCAAATGTTAGAGATTAAATGTTAGAATATATGATGTTAAGTAAAATGTATTCTTATTTTAAGAGTTCAGTTGTAAGAGCAGTTTAAAGAAAAATGCTTGAAAATAATTATTTGTGTATCAGGGTTTTCAATAAACAAATATATTTTAATGCGATGAGAGTTTCACTTTAAAGGTGCAATATGTTTTCTAGTGGGAGGTGTGCTACGTTCTTGTCTCAATAGTGATGTTATGATTTGCTTGGAATGTCCCACAGTATGGCATTAAACTTCTATCTCATTGAAGACAAGCAAAATAATGCCCACTTATGTTTTACAGGTAAGATCTGTGGAGAGGCGTCCCCGATGCATATTTTTCAAGGTATTTTTTGTCAGTCAAACACAGTTGAGTGAATGCAAGATAGTTTTGTTTAATGCCATACTTGGGAACATTTCATTCAAAGGTATAACATCTCCATGGAGATAATCAAAAGTGACTTAAAAGTTACATAATGCACTTTTAACTAAACTTTTTTTTTCTTTGAACACTTTTATAAACTGGGATATCTGTTTTTATTATTGAACTAATGTCAATCATATTCTGGATTCTGATCAATAGTTATAGAATACTGATCAGCATCCAAAACATGCTGCAGATAATGATGTGTTTTGAAAGAAATCTGCTCATTTCCTGTCCTTCAGAGACATAAAAAGTAAATGCAGCTTCCACAAAAGGCTCAGACGTGATTTGCAGTAGTTGTGTGAGTTCGTACCTGTCAGGGGGGCAAACAGTTTCCCCTCCAGAGTCTTGAGTTTGTTCCCGCTGAGGGCCAACTGAGAGAGCAGAGGGGTGCTCCTGAGTAAGTCTGGAGGAAGAGTCTCCAGCTCATTGTTCCTCAAGTACAGCTCCTGGAACAATTTGGTGTTTTAGCATGAGGGGCACAATATAGATCTGATTAAAAATGGGTGAAAATAATAATCATAATTGCCTTATTTATATTATTTTTTATTTGAGATTATCTTACAGTTTCTCAGTGTTCAACAATGGAAGTAAGGCTTAACATTCTTTGCTTACTGGCCACTGTAGTCTTTTTTGAAAGTTACTTTTAATGGTTTTGGTTTATAATTTGGAATTGGAATTAAGAATAATTTAAAGTTAGGATGACTATGCATACAGTTTATACACTGCAAACAAGCTTAGCCAACATTTGAAATATAAACAGTTAAATCTATTTGAAAATGACTTAAAAATAGTATTTGTCCATGCAGCATGATCATTTTACTTTACAAGTTATCTTAAAATAAACTACTTCTAGACTAGAATCAAGCCTTTTCAGAACTAGTAAGTAGATAATAAATCTGAAGATGAAGATGAATAACCTGATACAAGTTTTAAAATCTTGGCCTCATCAGAGAAATTTGCAGTGTTCAAAGTGACTTGTGGGACTGAATTTGAAGGCAAAATGAAAATGAAAACAGCATCTGTCCAGTTAATGTCGAGTCCTGACTGACAGAGAATATGCCAAAAAACAAACAAACAAAAAAAAAAAAACGCAGCTATGTTATTGACCTGGAGATTGACGAGTCCATCCAAAACCGTGGTCTCCAGTGTGGTCAGAAGATTATTGTCCAAGACCAACATCTCTAGAGCGCGTAGAGGTTTGAACACTCCAACAGGAAGACTCTTTATGCTATGGGGGAAAAACAAAAAAAGAAAAGAAAGAAAGAAAAACTGAAAAGCTAAGAATCCATTAGACATTGAATGGCTGTTGTCATTTATAGTTCATTTGCAAAAACAGATGAGAATCGAAACAACTGCTCACAGCTTGAAATATACTCTTTGTGTTTCCAAAAGATGAATATATTTCAGTGCAATAAAAACATATTTTTTTCAGTATTGTCCCAGTCCACACACTGTAATTAATAAAGTAAGTAGAAAACGTGACACATTTTCAAAAGAGAACAATTGTTTATAGAGAGATTTTATAAAAGAACTTGGTGAAATCACAAACTTTTGAAAAAAACAAAAAAAAAAAAAAACTCCCTCTGATGTTGATGTGTTGGTAAAGAGCATGGGTCTATTTTTTTATTTTTTATTTTTTTTACTACAATCCAGTTTAATCTTGTATCACCATAAGACCTTATCTGTCTCTGTACCTGTTGTTGTCCAGGTTGAGGAAGAGCAGCTGCCTGAGTCCAGTGAAGGCCTTTGGAGAGATGGTGGTGATCCGGTTCATGGACAGATCGAGGACTTTGAGCACGATGAGCGGTTTGAAGGCGTTTGGAGTGAGTTTGGAGAGTGCGTTCAGAGGCAGATCCAGCTCTGACAGGTTCCTCAGACCCACAAACATGTCCGGCCTCAGAGCCCCAATCTCATTCTGCCCCAGCATCAGGAAGCGAAGGTTACGCAGTTCCTGTGACACAAGGATTCAGTCATTCATTCAGTGCTTTAATCATTGATTTGTCCAAAACTACGGAGTCACCAAATGTTTTTCTCTAGGGGCCACATTATCGCTCCTGACTGTGATGGGGGGCCGGGGTCAGGTGGGCCAATGAAGGAATACATGCTGTTGAACAGCCAGTCCGCCTTTCATCCGCCGAATCCTATCTTCTCTCGTTTACCCTCGCAGGTCAGCTTACTCTTTGTGGCGGATTTTGTAGTGACCACACAGATTATATTCTTTGAAAACAGCCACACTTTCTTTACATATCAGACAAACTGCACTGTCCTTACACTGAACAAAAAAATAATCAGTTGTCCACTGTTCTCGGCTGTATTGAAAACTCTGCACTCTCTGTCAACTTTTCGTACTTTAACACAAGCTGTTTTGCTGTCTTTAACTGCACTACAGAACTCTGCACGTGTTGACTGTCACTGTTTGATCTCGAGCTTGTCAGGTGATGAAAATGTGGCTGCAAATTTAGCAGCAAATGTAAATATGCCATATAATTATTTAAATATGAATATTTAATATAAATATATTTTTTTCTGAAAAATCAGCAAAATACAAGATGCAGACATGTTATTATTTACCAAAAAGTAATTTAAAAAATAGGCCATGACAACTTTTGAGGAACACATCATAGGACCAGTTCAAGTGCTAGGGGACAAAGGGGCATTGTGGGCCAGAGATGGCCTGCGAGCCTTAGTTTGATGACCCCTGGTCTAGAATGTTCCACAATATGACATTACATGTATCTATCTCCAAAAACACACACAGATTTTGCCATCAGACCAAGTTAAAGGCCAGACCTTTGAAGAGGCGATGCTCACAGTAAGAATTTCTATTTTTAAGGCATTTTTGAGCAATTAAAAACATGTAGTTTTGACTCCATATTATAGGTAATGCAACACCTGTTTCCACGGTGACGACAGATGCATAGTGCACCTTTAGGGAGAGCGAGACCTCAAATCCAGTTTTATTTTACCATTTGTGAAGATTTATTTTAATGCTAGCATCTAAAATATTAGTCTTATCAGTTAAGTTTGGCTACAAGATAATACAGAGAGACTTGTGAAGATGTTTGATGGTAATCCCAAACAAATATAAATGAGTTTCAGGAGGCCCAGTTGTTCTCCATGTGACCATGCATAAGTGTGAGCTGTTACCTGGAGCCCTCGTGGGGGCAGTGTGCTGATGTGATTGCCGTACAGTTTTAACAGCATCAGTTCCTTTGCTCCGGTGAACGCCTGTGGATGGATGGATTTGATGGCATTCCGCTCCAAATTTAAGCTTTCAATTTTGGGAACAGTTTTCAGAAGAGCAGCCTTCAGATCTGTTATGCCATTCTCCCCTGAGTACACAAGTTTACAACATAGTCCAGCATTTTCACAAGGTACATTTTCAAAAATGTCTTGTTGCTATCACTCACCCAGTTTGAGGTTCCAGGTATCGGGGGGCAGGTTGGAGGGGAAGGTGAGGAGGCCTCTTTTGTGACAGTTGACCTCTGACTTTTCGGGGCTGGACTTCTTGGAACATTTACAGGAGCCGGGACAGGCCCCCACAGATTGTGTGAGCCACAGCAGCCCCAGGACCACATGGAGCAAGAGCTGCATGTTTCTGAGATGGAGGAGAGAGGCTTCAGAAGACACTTTCAGTTTTATCTGTGACAATTAAATGGCCCATCTGCTATTTTCTCATCTGTTATAATGCTGCTCTCATCACAAACATACCTGAAGTTGTGCTTTGTTTCATTCAAACATGTTTAACACACAAACCTTGCATATTTAGGCTGAGTCCTTCTCTCAAACAGAAAACACTCATCATTTGGATCATTTCAGCCTAGAACTGCCAATCTATACTGAACAAAAAGTAAAAGGTAGCTGTTAACTTGAAAACTACTGCTTCCTTTTTTAGACTTTGAGCACTTTGGACATGTACTCAAGCATGAAGGGTTACTCGAACATGTGTGAATGAAACAAAACACAGTCTCTCCAGACTCCAGACATGTTTTTGAGGAGGTAACAGCATTCTAACATGACTAAAAGCTCAAAGAGAGTCATTTTTCACTCAGTCAGTTTTGTGTAATATCAGACCTTTACCCTTTAATAAAATATTCACTACCACAATTTACATACCCTGAAAAAGAATTTATACTTTCATAAAAAAAAATATGTATTTATTTTTGAACTTTTTTTTTTTTTTTTTTTTTGAAGAGTTCAATTGCAAAAACAGATCTCTGGTTGAAAAAAAAAGGCAAACATTTTTCTTTTTGTTACTGTTTTCCACAGATATTATAAGTGGCAATAATGTACAGTGGATTTGCTCAAGTAAGGATGGAATAATATTTAGATAAATACATTTTGACTTTTTAAAACTTTTCTGTACAGTGATTAAACTGCAAACCTCTGATCACTTTTTAAAAATGGCTCTTACCTGTTCTCACAAATTAACTCTTAAATTTGTTGTTCACAGTTTAGTAATTTATGTAATATTTTGTTCATATTTTGTTTTCATAGTATCATATATTGGATAAGGACTTTAAATTTTAAGTTCTAAGCTGAGTCTATTTTGTTTATTTTGTTTTTAAGAGATATAAAGATGGAACTCACCATAACGGTAAAAATGCCTCAATGGAAATCCACTTTATTGCACTCCTCCTCCTGTAGGACTTTTGTTATACGGCAGCACATGGAGCGCCACCTTAATCGAACTCTGCAGAGATGTCTCAGATTCAGCAGTGTGTATCCACGTAGTGACACAGATCCGCCTCTGCAGACATCAAAACTAAGTGTGAAATTCACAGGGCCATGATTCCAGCCGTCTCACAGGCCCCATAGAAATGTAGCATCTTTTATCCACTTTTTATACCAGCGGTCAACAGTGCGGACAGTATTCTTTTGCGATCTGATAACTGGAGTTGCACAGAACATTACCCCTCCAGTAGAGTAGAAACCTATCTACCCTATTCTTCTGGTGCTGTATGGGAAAGTGGAATGAGCAAAGGAAATGTACTCAAATACAAACGCCAAATGGATATGTCAAAGCGGGGGACCCTCTTGGATGAGAGGAGACAAAATTTCTACAAGATGAGATGAGATAAGAGAATGGGACCACAAGAATGAAACAAGACGAGATTTTAACATAATTCCTAATATCTAAATTTCATGGTTTAGGTTCAGATTTTTCCTTCACAATTTGTTATTTATTTCATTTCTTAGTTTTGTTTCCATTCTAATACTGCTTCTTTGGAACTGTAAGAGATGTATCTCTTACAAACATCTCACATGATCATTTTTCTCTTGTGTGCAAGATCTTTGCAATTTTGTGTGGCAGAGTTGGGACTTGCTAGTCGTGACTTGCACTCACGTCAGATTTGAGTGACTATTTTTAGGACCTGAGACTTGACTTGGTAAACTGGACTAAGACTTGGGACTCGACTTGGACTTGAAGGTCAGTGACTTGGAACTTGACTCGGACTTGAGGCTTGTGACTTGTGATTTGAGAAGCACTTTCAAATCTGAATTCTTTTTATTCTGACCGTAATGATTCACACCAAGATCTTGTCAAAACATTTAAAAAGGAAAAAAATAACATTTCTACAACTCTTACATACTCAGTAAATACTCATATATAAATATACTATGACTTTAGTGCAAGTAAAATTACAGTTTATCCTCAAATTCATATAAATTGGTACTTTGGTTTAAAGACTTGAAATGACTCGAAGTTCAAAGTAGAAGACGTGTACTTGACTTGGACTTATGGGCCAGTGACTCAAGACTTGACTTGGACTTGCCTGTATTTTACTTGGGACTTGACTCGGACTTGAGGTCAAAGACTTGAGACGACTTGGTCCCACCTCTGTCTTGTGGCACGAGCTCTTGCACCATTCCCTACTAACCACTATCACTACAATGCAACCATGTATTTTGTCTTTTGAACATAGCACAAATCACTATCAAAAATAAAACAGCACAGATTCATATTTCATGACATGTTATGTATAAATCAGCAAACAAAACAAGGCTGTTTTTAGTAAAAACTTTATGTTCATAGCTGCCATTTCTGACAATCTGTAAAAATGTGAACGACAACAACCCGCTAATACACAAATTAATTGTATAAAAATGAACCATTATTGTCATAAAATGGCTACTTTCACTCAATCACATTAAAGAAATTCCCAGAAATGTACAGATTATAAACATACACAGTGGTGTTTTACACATAAAGCATTATTATTAACACGCTGCGAAGATCTGACAAGGACAGTAAAAAGTCTTTCATATTTGAGGCAGTGTTTGGGATGGACATTGTCGGTAGATATCAGAGGAATGTTTTGACCAGAATATGAAATCTGAGATGGAGAGGAGGCAGCAGTATGAATCTCTATGTTTATACAGTAATATTCATAGTGTACATAATGCTAATGTTATCTTTATGTTGATTATCCGTGTGCATAACATTAAATATAATTAGAAATATTTAAGGGTCCTACATTAAGAAAAATTACCTCTTGTGAGCTTTGAGCGATGTTATCACTTTGTAACCTCCTCAAAATCATACCTCGAGTTGTGTTTTCTTTATGTCACACATGCAGTTTTCATGTTAACAGCTACCTTTTACCTTTTGTTCAGTTTAAAGATTTTACATGCCATACATTTGTAATTTAGATGATTTCAGACCTGGGATTAAGAAACACAATGGAGCAATTCCTGTATTACCACATGACATCACAATGTGAAAGAACGATAGGGTTTGTGAATGAAACAAAACACAACGCCAGGTATGCTTTGATGAGGAAACAACATTGTGAAATAGATCAGAAAATAACGTAAAATGGGCTCTTTAAGACATATTTCATTACAGATATGTTCTATTTGTTTTGGAATTTAAGAGCAGATTCGTCCCTGCTCCTGTAGCTTGCTCTCAATCTCACACAATTAAGTCTTCCTGAATACAACCCATAAATCCCACAGTGAGGAATTTAAGGGGCCACTATCAGAATCACTATCACTATCAGAATGGAATGTGCATTTGCAGCGACGTCTTAAAATCAACAAAGAGAAAATTATTAGGATCCTGCATATAACAGACCACATAGGAGGAATGGTGACATCTTGTGGTGAGTCTTCAGAATGCATCTAGGCTCCTATGGGTTTTTATGTTGTTAGAAAACGAATTAATTTGAAGGAAAACAAAGCATTAAACAATTCAAGACATGTCTCTGTAATGGTTCAGAAACCTCTCAGTTGATTAGAACCTCTTTGGTTTCCAGCATATTTTTTTCCACCAAAATATCACAAAACGCTGTATGGCTTTAGCCCCTTTTTACATTTACATTTCAAACCTGGACGGATATTGCAGAAGACATAATACGTAGAATTGCTTAAAAACCATTTGATTTCTATAACTAAAAAAGAGAGACCTGATTCTTCTTTAGTCCTGAACAGATACAGTTTTCCATTTAAGTTTATCCCTGGTTTAGTCTTATAGTTTCGACCTGGCTCACCTGAATTTTCAATACTGTCAAATACTACAGTACAAACATGAACAACAGATGTTTTTTTTCTTTTTGCAAAAACACTGCTCCCTGTTGGTTGTTTAACAAATCGGCATATTACATCTTAACTGAAGTTGTGAGTATTAGTTGAAAAATCTCCTCTTGGTCCACAAACGTCCATAAAGAAATAAACACCAACATGGCTTCTTTGGATTACAGCTGGTTGAGTGTCTCTGTTTTCTGTATTACTATTGCTGTGATCTTATGCAGTCTGTAGAAATGTTTTGAGCTGTAGCGTCTCTTCCACTGATAATCTGTCGTGGTAAAAGCTCAGTCCAGTGAGAAGCTCTATATCTCGGACTCTGGCTGTGTGGAACTTCATCCACTTCTCCGCCCAGACCTCTACCTGATCCAACTGTGGACACAAGGAAAAAACACAGAAAATCATGTTAATAAACTGGACTAAGGATCCTTTGTGTGTTTTATTTTCTAGTTTTCAGTAAAAAAAAACAAAAAACTGTTACTTTACTCTTGTTTGAAAATTCTACTTTTGAAAATATACTTAAAACTACAAATTACTAGGGATGGTACAGGACGAGATGAAAAAGGAGATTGGTTTCACAAGAACAAGACAAGACAAGATTTTAACTCAGTTCCTAATATATACATTTTACAATTCAGCTTCCAATTTTGGTCCCACATTTTTTTTATTTGATATCATAATTTTGGTTTTCATTCTAATACTGCTTTTTGGAACTATAAGAGATGTAACTCACTAAAAAGTAACCCTTTTTTGTCCACTCTAAATGTAAACACAAACAAAAAAATCTCAAGAGGTAATTTTTTTCATGTGGGCACAATCTTGTAGCAATTTTGCCTCTTGTGGCACGAGATCTTGTACCATCCCTGCAAATTACTATAAGTACTATTCCTTCTAAATAATACTAAATAATACATCTTTAGGTTCCCCATTTGACTCACATCTGTGTCTTTATCTTCAAAAACTTTTTTAAAGTGTTTGAAGTGTCTGAATACTGATAATTGGAATTTTGCATTTTGTGTCTGAACATTATTTGGAGATGGGCCATATTTATAGCATAAAACTATTGTATATCTTGTGTTTAGAGTAATTTGAGTTCTTTTTTATACCCAATTACCTTTTTCTAAGTAATGTAAGTTATGTTGTCAAAGTTTTCAGCATGTCCAAGAAAGGGTGGAAGTAAAAGACGAGACCAACTGGATGTCTTACGCAGGAGAAGTTTATTTACCATCAATACTATGGGCCCGGGGGGATTGAAACGTCGACATAGTATGATTTCAAAAAGAGAACCTAGTATGATCTTTGAGTGTTCAAGCCCCTTTGACTATGCTTCCAGAGGAGGAGGTTTATAAAGCAAGTGTTGTGAGACTATGAAGGCCAGTTAGTCAGCAATATGCCACAATTTACATAATGGTATGCCAATGGTGTGCCAGGGGAAGATCATGGTGTAAATATAGCTTTCGTGTGTCAATGTCAAACTGAGATATACGTGGAAGATAAATTAGTTACATTCTCTTACAAGTTATAGTAAGTATGTATAAGTAATTAATCATGTCACTAATGTACTGCAGTATACTCACGGCACAGTTCTCTTTATAGTCGGGTCTATGGGGCAGGATGAAGGACTGGACTCTGAGAGGGCCAGAGCAGGAGCCTGGACTCAGACTGGAGTTCCCACAACTTGTCAGGATCAGGAAAAAGTGCGTTGGCGTTGGTGCCTGTGAACTTAAAAAGAAAAACAGTCGAATCAAAATAAATTCTGCCTGCTTTGACATGAAAACTGTGCTGTTAATCTTGGATTCATAAGATTAACAGAGAAACAACCACCTCAACAAACATTTGGCTTCACACCATTAGGGGTGTCAACTTGTGCGGTTAATCGATATTCTTGATTATTCAGAATGCAACAGTAAAATAAATAAACAAACAAACAATAGTGACATTTTTAAGAGCGGAATTAAGTAATTTCAATTCAGTCTATAATCTAAACGTAAAGATAAAGTGATTTTTCATTTGTTTAGATAAATAGATATTTTATTGATCCCAAGAAAAATTCTGAGTATTTATTTATTTGACAGGGACAATGCAATATAGTTTTCTCATTAATAGCCATATGTCAGCTTTTACCATAGACTGTAAACATAAATGGACAATGTGCCGCTGCATTCAAAATAGGAAGTTCGCATGCAGGCCCCTCTCTCTGTAACTGCTGTGAGCCCTGTCATTTGGGACTTAAATGTTCGTATTAACCAGCTCTACATGATCCTGGCGTTTTTTCAGCTATTTTGTCCATTAACAAAATCATAATCATAATACAGAGCTCCAAGTTCGCCTCTGTAACCATGAGCACTATGGGTGATGGCACTCTCGCTTAGTCCACTTCTTTCCATTTCTTTCGGTTTCTACCAGTATTCCTTACATAAAAGAAAGTGAGACTTACTCTACAACTGGTTTAGGTTTATCTACATTTCCATTGTAGTCTTCGTCAAATATGGGCCCACTTATGACGTTGACTCCGTTCAGATGCTGGGAATATTTCGGGAGCAGGATGGTATGGAAGTAGTCCCATATGGCTGTAAAGATAAAGGTGCATGTAACAGCAGTAATAGTAACATGATTAGTAACAGACTAACTGACATTTTATAATCTCCAAACTAGATAGAGGCTACGAAAGACTGACATGATATGATATGATGATACTGACACAGTTTGAACACCAAGAAAATGTTAAAAACAGGTATTTGCCAAAGTCTAAAAGGAACAATTCCCCCAAAATACGCATAACAAATTTCAAAATGTTAAATGTAAACTAATTTCAATTAAACTAATAAATAAGATATCGATTGGCATTTAGATAACACAGTTGGCCAGAACCTACCCTTACTACCACAAGAGGGCAGCATGTTTTCACTTATTCAGGCCAGTGCCGACAAATATCAAGTATAAACCTGTTGTATTTGCTCATCATGGCATAGAGGATGTATTTATTTCTAAAACTTCTATCTTAGTAAATCCCCAAAAGCTATAAACAAGCCCAGACAAAGCATGAAATGTAACAGCACACACAGGAATGAGTGGGACTTTTGTTGAGTAATGCCACAACCTCTCGAAAGAATAAAATCAAACGCAGGAAACAACAGGTCCTGGTCATGATGTAATCTTAAATAAATGCAATAATCTCTGTAATCCCACAATGATAAAGGTTTATTGGCAAATTAAGAGAACTATACTTTTCTCCTTGATACAGTATAGGACAGTTCTACCTACTGTTCACACAACTTCATAAAATGCAAGTCTGGGTTTCTATAGTATTCTACTTGAAGCTAATGTTAGTTATTTTGTAATTTAACTTCAAAGATTTACTAACTACTAACCAAAAAAGTTTATCCAATCACTATAAAACTTGTTCCTCCATTCACTATGAGAGAAGAAACTATTCTTTTCAACAAGTACAAGTACACAAAAGTTTTAAAATTGTCTTAATGCCAGATGCCTTAATTACCAGAAGTAGATGAAATACTAAATAAACTACTATTAATTTGTGTTGAAAATTGCATTCCATATTCCACAAATACATAGTCTAGTGTATATAGTGAATTAAACTTTTTGATTAGAATAGATTTTTCTTTGATTGTACTGTAACAACTATAGTTGCAATATTACATCTTACAGTACAACCTCAGCAGGCCCAAACTAGGATTGCTCTAAAACAAAACTAATAATTATTTAAAAAAAAAAAAAACCTTATAAATGTTGGATATTTGAAAGTAATTTAACAGTAAAGAGTTAAAATTAAACCAGCAATCAACTTATGTCTCAGTACTAAGGAAACCAGTAATGTGTAATTTCTCTCATCATTCCAGGAAAAATGCCTCCCTAAAGTGAATATCTCTTGTATCATTTCATTTAGAACAATGTGTTTGTGGTTAGCAGTAATGGATAAATATTTCGATAACGACTCACCCAGAAAAGCAGGAAACATCGGGACCATGTTACTGGTGAGAAGCGAGTCAGTCTGAGGGCCTTGAGTTTTCAGATCTGAGAAAAACAAAGTAACAAATCAAATCCATGTCAAGTTCAATTACATGGCACACAGTATATGCATGTTAAAGCTGAACTATGTAACTTTTCTGATGAGGGTCCAAAGCATGCTTGTCTCCATGTACTGTAACGTGACATCTGCATTTATTTCATTAATGGTGTTTTATTATACAAAATAGCTATATTATCTATTCATTCTGTGAATCTTGGCCTGGTGATGAAACTCATAATGCCATAGTGTGGAATATTTCAGGGAAAGTAATGACCTCTCCATGGAGACAAGCAGGTGGCAAACTCTCCCCAAAAATTACATAGCGCAACTTGAAATGTTAGCCTTTTTTTGCCATTAGCACCACAATTTGCTTAGATGATTAACTGTTTTTGTATTCCACTGTATGTCCTATAACATGAAAATATGGCAATAAAAATATGTTTGTGAATCTTTTAGTAACAGCAGTAGAATCTGAGCAGTATGAAGTACATCTGTTAATCACTATGTGTGTCCCACATGTACGAAAAAAGGATGTAATGAAACTAATAGTCCCTTTACTTTAATGACCAAAATAGATGACATATGTCCACAGTGCTTCCTCAAAGGTTATTTGGGGTTAATCCGGTGAAAATAGGCCAAACGCTGCCCCCTACCAGGGAGAGGCTTTAAAACAGACCCCTGCCTCCACACTCTAGTCAGATACATTCTACTGCCAGTGTCTAAATATGAATCTATCAATATGTATGATTGTCTGTTAGACTAGCCATCATCATTTAATACACGTTAAAAGTATTCTTGGCACATCAAGTTTGTCTGTTCCACAGTGGTCATGCCAGGGTGGTCTAATTCTCTGTTTGATGGACAATACAGCTCATGCCTGTTATAAGACAATATTGTTCAAAAAGTCAAATTAAAGGTGCACTGTATAACTTTTCAGGTGGAGGATTTATCAGCTGCTTCTCTCCATTGAGATGATGCCTGGAAGGTTCCACAGTATGGCATTACACTTATTTATCTCTACAGAGGCAGTGGGTGACACCTCAGGGTCAGGGTACATGTCAGATCTGTGGAGAGCTGAGCCCACTCACAGTAACAATGCATGTTTTTAGGTCAATAAAAAAACATGTTATGTTAGATTAGTGCCGCACAGCAGACATGTCAAACTCAGGCCAGGGGGCAAAATTTGGCCCACGATATAATTATATTTGGCCTGCAAGATCATATCAAATATGTATTAAAGCTGGCCCGCCAGCTACAGAAACGTTTAGAGATGTTATATATTTAAAGTTTTGTTATTCTTTTACATTATGCTTGTTCTAGATACAGTGTTTAAGCAAAACTATTATTAAATATTTATGTTAATAAGAAAAGGTTTAACATTACATATCTCAAAAGAAGAGAAAACATGCAGATGTTGTTGAAATGTTTCAATAAATATTTGGTTTGGCCCATGACTTATTCCCACTTTTTAATTTTGGTCCTCTGTGAATTTGAGTTTGACACCCCTGCCGTACAGGAACATTATAGACAAAATTATCACATCTCCATGGAGACAAGTGAGTGGCGGACCCTGCAACAGAAAAGTTACACAGTGCACCTTTAAACTTCCACTTTTAATTTCACCTATTGTAATTAAATCAACTCTCTAACAACACATTCCTGTCTTTGTCCAACCTTCACCTGAGCCCTATACAATCCATACAACAGAGTGAATATAAAGAACAGCGAGGACTCTGCAAAAGAATGTGGCTTTAGAGTCATGTCAGTTTGAATTGGACACCCCACACATCCCCATTAGCAGTGTCCTGTGTGAGTGACACTCACTGGGTGGGTGCAGCAGCCCAAAGGTGAGCCTGGGGTCGTTTCTATAGCGACTGCACATCTGCGACTGGGATGGGTTAATACGGACATCAGCACGCACACATGGGCTGATTAGAGGATCAACTTTTGCCTAAGAAAAACAGGATACAGGACACAGGATACAGAGATCAATGAATGTTGGATGAAATGTGGTGTTATGTAAGAAACCCTTGGGTCAGTAAGGACAGAGAAATGCCACAAATCTGAAACATTTGTTACAACTGTCAAGGCTCATTTGGGAACAAAACTGACTGTATGTCTGTGGGTTAGAGAGAAAACCGTTACATATAAAAATGCTGAAATGTCAAAGTTAATTTCAGAAAGCAATAATTATGTAAAGTAGAAAAAACATAGCTGTACTAAATTTCAGCTTCACCTTCTATTTCCTTAAGTTGGAGTCACCTGACCTTCGTGAAACTTGCATTTTATCTATGTTTTGTGTCTTAAAGCACTGTATAACCTTTCTCATGGAGGGTCAGCTACCTGCTTGTTTCCAAGGAGATGTTATTGTATATCACTTTGGACTGAATATTGCACAGTATGGATATAAATTTTGTAAACAATGGAAAATGGAGAGAAGTTACAGGTTAGATCTATGAAGAAGCAAGCCTGCACAAAGTATGAATTCATGTTTTTCAAGGCATATTTGAGCTACAAAACTGTAAATGAATAAATACAAGATGTGTATATATGTTTAATGCCATACTGTGGAACATTCCATGTAGACAAGCAACATCTTCATGGAGACAAGCACATAACGGACCCTTCACCTTAGAAGTTACAAAGTGCACCTTTAAGCGCAGTAGTGGCTACAACCTAAACTTATATGGTAGAGGATACATTAGCCTAGAATTCAGAATTAGAGCAGGATCAGCAAATCCTAAATGGTAAATATGTTCATGTTTAAAAAAAAAAAGACATGGACAAATCCACCTCTCATTATTTCATCTGACTGTATGTCAAACATTAGAAAGACCTTCAGTAGAAAGACCTGGGTCAGGCAGATCTTGATTTACAGCGAACCGTTAAATGACAAAGCACTGCAGTGACCGGTTTACTACAGTTGTGCTCAGATGCGTAACAGCTGCTCTCATGTAGTCACTAAAAATCTCCTCAGGCTCCTGCCAGAACCCAAAACCAGACCAGGGTCTGAACCAGAGCCAGGACTCACTGTACCAGGCCCAAAAAGGAAGAACAAATGGTTTTCAAGTGAATGTCATTGGGAGAAAAAAGAGACCAGTACTTCCCAAACAGCACTCAGAACTTTTGCACTTTTTACACCATGAAGTTAGGACTATTTAACTTCAGCCTTTGTACACAGGCTCGGTACCCTCTTGCCTGACCATCTAGTACCTTCTACATTCTGTTTAAATTCAGAAGAGGCTGGGACCGGACAATAAAGGGTGACAATTCTAGGTCCAAACTTGTGACGATCCAACCACAGCTGCTAATTTGTTGCATGTGTCCCTCCAAATCTGGACATCTCTTCTTCAAAACTCTCAGAAAAAAAAAGAAGCTTATTTTACCTGAGATAAATAAGAGATTGGTGCGTCAAATATGGTCCTGTAAAAATCTGCATTCTCTGTCCTTTATGCTGTTTTTTTCCCCTTTTTTACACTAAACCACCATTGATTGGCTAATCCGTCTGTCAGTCACACCCTCTGAAATCGGGAACATAGTATACGACTCCAGATCCACTCGTCTTTGTAAAGTTTTGACAAAGCGTGCAGTCCTGGCTGATCACTCACCAGGAGCGGTATGGTGTAAGAGACCCAGAGAGGCATGAGTCTGTCATGACTGTACCCGCTCAGGAAGTCCCTCTGATGGAGCAGGCAGAAGGACACCTCAGACTCCACCACGCGAGGAGTGCCAAAGGGGTGGTGCTTTCTCCGCAACTGGGCTTTGGTGGCTGGACAGAACATAGTCAAGAATTGTCCTATGAATATCAAATACAGCAAATAAATATAGGATTAACTAAAGAGGGTTCTTACCAGCGTCTATGCTGAGAAGTTGTGTGTTCATCTCTTTGTGCTGGAAAGAGTTTAAAAATGTGGTCAGTTGTGTATAGAAAGAAAATGTTTATCATAAACAGAAGATATATTGTAAAGGTGCAGTGTAACTTTTCCGGTAGAGAGCCTGCCATCTGTTTGTCTCCATGGAGATGTTATCAGTATGCCTCTACATTAAATGTATCTATTTCCAAGGAGGCAAGTGGGTGGCAACACCAGGACAAATCACAGATCAGATATGTGCAAGCTCTCTTCCACCAGGAAGCTAAAACACACCTTTAAATAACTAATTTATTTGCCTGGGAAATCCAGAACAATATCTCTCTGTATTTTTTATACAAATTGATCAGTGTGATCACCACACCCTCTGCTGCATCTCAAGCCCAGTCAAACGTGATCGTGCAATCATATTTGGTTTTTTTTCTGTGATGCATGTGAAATGAAGGAAATCTAATTGATTATCAGATTAACAAAGTTTAGTGCTTCACTCATTGATTCTTCAGACATTTCTGTCCACTGTGATATTTTTTTCTTATATTTTTTCGGATATGGACGAACCATGCGTGCGCCCAATTGAATTATCCACCTGTCATTTAGGCCCATTTGAAAACAGGGAAATCAGAACAGACTCACATCTTTGTAAAGTATTGAAGAAGTGTCCATTCTGGATCCCAGATAACCAATTTAATACAATTAGCTTGTTTGGTGTAAATGAATACAGCTTCTGAGATTAGTTGATTACATTTTTGGATCTAGTTTACAAATAAGAAAAGTTGGAATTTGCCTGTTCAAATACCATTTCTGCTGTTTCATTTTCACAGGAGCACTGGCGGTCATCTGAGGGGGTGGGGTCAGACGTATCACATGGCGTGTCATGTGACAGCTGGGCGGGGTGCACGGGCTGGAACAGAGCCTTCTTCAGGAGGTGGTTCAGACTCCCGTGGGTGCCGTTGTTAGGAGCAGGACGGACGCCCAGGAGGTCTGGAGAAAGTAACAAAGAAATGATATTCATCTTTCTGACATTTAAAACCTTTCACTTTGCAACACAGTATGAACTTAACAACATAAGATATAAGCTTACATTTCTGTGCAATAAAAGTAGTAAGATAACCTGTCTTAAAATGTTTTCAGATCACTTTCCATCATATAAGTTGTGATTATCATGTGCTAATTAAATAGAACCATCAATGGCATTCATAGGTTACGTGAAAAACCTGAAACTGAATATAAAGGTTGAAATAGGAGGATAAAGAAAAACAACATACCACACATGAGGTTGTACACTTCAATATTCTCAAAAGTTGGGACTACAGTCTTGTGTCTGAATCCTGGGCCGTAGCCAATGAAAATCGCCTAAAGAAAGAAACACACATTAATATTTAAACATCACTGTGCTCAGCACTTGAGCGGCACACTGCTTAACAATTCGGGCATTTGTTGTATTTTTTGTTAAATTTTAAGTTGCCAAACAAGTTGTACAAGATCAAGTTTAAAAACGGCACTTTGATTGCTTTTTAAACAACCTGAAATTACCTTTTTGCACGTTTGTCTACAAAACAACATTGTGGTTGCTGATATTTCTGGAAGGGAAGCGGTCTATTCCCAAATATGTAAACATCAACATTATGCGCTGTATAGTTCAACTGAGGCTGTAATTGAATATATGAATAATTTTTTGATGTTATGACTATGCAAGCTTATTATGAAGAGGTAAATCCAAGTTCAATCTGATGCTAAAAAGGAGGATTCTTGTCAACATGCTTTACAATTCAGCACCTGAGGGACTGTATAAGAGGCAGGCAGCACAAGCTATAAAACACTGATGGACTGGTGTAAGAAGCTGAGTGACACCAAATCATCTAAAATCTTAGTAAAATATTATAAAATTTATCAGTTTTCTCTATGCCATTCTCTGTAACATTTTATACAACTGCACCTTAATGAAGTAGGAAGCAAGAGTTTATTCATTATGAACAAACTGCTAATTTGACAGGAGCTATGGGAGACGTCACACTCCCTTAGTCCACTTCTGTATACAGTCTATTCTACTCTTATATAAACCGCTGTATTAGGGTGTTTTCAGGTCAGTCCTGCTGCATCCTGTTTCAGTTACGGTTAAAGGTCGTTCCATCTATAAACATGTTCACGAACGAGCCAAAGTTAGGATTTTGGTTCGTTTATCTTTCAGACACACTTCCCTTTGTCGTGTATCTCACCTGCATGTTCGTAAAAAGATTATCAGATCCGTGGAACCCTCCAGAGCAGTACTTCATTTCCTTCCTGTTCCTGAAATTACAAAACCACACCATTAAGAAGTCTGTGTTTTCTGAATGCAACTGCAGGAAAACAAATAAGATAACACTGTTATTTATTTAGCTCCATTTCATCTTGTGTCTTGAAGTAATTTTCTCTGATTGTATAATGGCTGTATTTTACTACAGTAGTGCAGTTCTACAAAAACACCAATGCTAATCTTTGTAAACACTAAAGAACTGTTTATCCATGAACTGGTGTAGTAAAGAATGAGAGGGGATTTCTGTAAAGCAAATTCATACCTGTTTGTCTTTTTAAAGGTCCTCCATTACACAAAATTGACTCTTGTGAGCTTTAAACCATCATTTTGTATCCTCACACATATTTGAGTAATCCTTTATTATTAGCCTGTGTATATCTCTAAAGTTCAAAATGCTCTTTTCCACCTTATGATGTCATGTAGTGGCATTTTTCAGGTTAATAGCCACCTTTAGTTCAGTAGATTGGTAGTTCCAGGGCTGATGATGATTCTAGTAAAGGTGTATGAAGCGTTTTCTGTTTGAGAGAAGAACTCAGCCTAAATATGCAGGATTTGTGTGCTAAAAAAGTATGAATAAAAAAAAACTCAACTCCGAATATGTATTTTGAAGAGAAAATAAGATCAGGAAATGATATAATATGTTAGCCAGGCTGGCACCACCTAGTGCCTCCACTCAATTTCATTTCTCTCCAGCAACTAGGTCAGAAATCAAAATACAATAGATGGTTCGCAAAAACCTCAGAAGTGCAAGTTCAGGCACCAGCCAATCAGTGAAAAGCCATACATCCTGTGTTGGCAACGATTCCCGAGATTGAGGATTTAAAGCCGGAATAAAGACAATGTTTAGTGAATTTCAGCAAGGGGAAATACCTTATTGCCCTTCTTCCTACGGGATTTGGAAAAAGCTTAATATACGAATTAGCCCTGTGAGTGGCGCATTACACATGTCACGACGAAATAGCAACGATTGGTTAAATGATAAAAAGTCGAGTGAAAGAAATCTAAGGCTGCCAGGTCAGACTGTTTGTACAAACTGAAACGAAGTAAAACTGGCTGATAAATCAGACTAATAATATGGGCCCTTTACAGTTTTTTTTAGTATTGTCAATTTACTTCCCTACACCACGCAAAGACTTTCACCAAAAAAAAAAAGGATTTCTTCTATAGTCAGGTTTCTTTGCGTAGGAGCCAGGATGTTAGACATGCTACACCATGTGTGCCCACTCACATAGCGGCCTGCCAGCCCTCCTTCATGTACAGGTGCCCCCTCTCGATCCTCTCGTGGCTGGCGAAGTGCATCCGTTTGGGGAGGTGCTCTTTGAGGTAGGGTCTCATTGGCTGGTCAGGAGTCCTGCACTTAACACCAAACCCACCACCACAGGAACAGATATGACAATGTTTGACTTAGGCTCAATCAAGCAGATAATCTTTCATTCTTCTCTTCAGTGCAAAAGGATAAGGTTGGAAATAGCTGGCATGCCAAAAGACTGAAACTAAGGTTGATAGAGACATTAATGGTGCACTGAGCAGCTTTTCTAGTAGTGGGTCTGTCAGTTGCTTGTCTCCATGGTGATGTTATTGCTTTCCCTGGAACGTTCCATGATACGACATTAAAACATCTATCTAATGTTTATTCATCACAGGTGTTTTAATTGCTGAAAAACACAATAATTCTCTTTATGAATAGAGTTTATTTAGATTTAGGTTTAATCTTTAACATGGAGCATTCTAGACAAAGCAATACATCTCCATGGAGACAAGCAGGTGGCAAACCCTCCAGTAGAAAAGTTGCACAGTGCACCTTTAACATAGGACAAGAAAGATGATAAGGGAAAGATAACAACACTTAAAACGGGTCTCAAACAGAACAATGGCCTACGAAAAGAAAGAAACATTAGGGAAACAGTAATTGACATACCGACAGACGCTCGATGAGGCCTTCATAGTCAACTGTAAAAATAAGACAAACATGGATTTAAAGATGTGGTATGTAACTTTTCTGGTGGACAGCCAAATCACAGTTGAGATCTATAAGGCAACCCTGTTCACAGAAAGAAAGCATATAGAGACACCTGCATAAAAGTAGATTACAATGCCATACGGAGGAACATTTCCGGTAAATCAATAAACATATATCCATGGAGATAAGCAGACACCCTCTCCCTAACACCAGAAATGTTAATTTGTGTATCTCTACTTTTGGCCAACTACAATCTAAACAATTTTGTCTTATTCTGCCAACACCCTAGTTAAGAGCTCAAGGTCAGCTATAGCCATTACAAACAATTTGACAGTGAGTGATTCAGGGACAGTGGGAAAAAACACATTTGTATCAACAGGAACTCACATGTGAAGTACTCCTGAGGCAGCCGCACAGGTCTGATCCGAGCGGCCGGGCCCTGGATCACAGAGAAGTCTTCAGTGTTATTGACGAATGATGAAATAAAAGCAGCTTTATCACAAGAAGCCTCCTCCATACCTGAGAACAGAGGAGATGATGATGTAACAAGGAACACACTGTCTGTATTGTTGATATTACCATGGTGTTACATAGAGGTTTGCCAAAATATATTTTTACTTTAAAAGCTTTGATATTCACTTCAAATGGATGGTGCGCTGTTAATTAAGCCTACTCCTGGAGTGTGTAACTTTTTATTTAGCCTGTTTATGTAGCACCAAGAAGTGAAAATAGCTTCTTAAATGTTCTGTATAACGCAAAATTTAGCTTTTAGTCATGATATAATGTTGTTACCTCCTCACAAACATACCTGTAGTTGTGTTTTGCTTCATATACACATGTTTGATTAACCCTCTATTACTAGTCTGTCTACATCTGCAAAGCTCAAAATGCTCTGTTCCACTTTATGATATCTTGAAACAGTAGTGATCTTCTGTTCAGTAGAGACTAGCAATTCCAGGATTGAAATGACTCTAAAATGATTCTAGTGTAGGTGTATGGAGTTGAAAAACACAGTGCAGCACTTCCTGTATTGCCAGACAACATCACAAGGTGGAGGAGAGTTTTCTGTTTGAGAGAAGAGCTCAGTATACATTATTGTGTGTTAAACATGTGAATGAAACAAAATACAAGTATAGGTATGTTTTATAACAAAGATCAGAAAATAGTCTAATATGGGTCCATATAAATATATGAATAAATAAATACGATAAATGATATACAGGAGAAACGCTATGTGGTGGGGACCAAAACATTTAAATATGTTTCAAAATGTGGCCCTCTCTGTTTGGACAACCCTGGTCTAAACTTTGGACAATTAAAAAACTTTAAAACAGGCAAATTGTTTTCATGTAACATTCCATTGCCTTACAGTTTGCTTGTGTGTGAAGACAAAGTACAAAGTACGTACAGAATGTACTAGAACTTACATACGTCTGACTTTTGTTTATTATTATGCCATGTATACAGTTCAGCAGCTGCCTTAAGGATTTGGGCCAATACTCAATCTCTCTGAAGGAATAACATAGTTTTGCTTACATTTCACACATATTTAAACCAATAGCATAAAACTAAAAAAATTAAATAAAATCTAATGCAATAGTCTTAAGGATTTCTTTCCTATATATCCAAAATCCTACAACTTAAAGGTCCTATATTATGTAAAAATGCTAACTTTAGGCCAATTCATATTGCCATTACATCATCAAAATATTTTTGCCCTGAAGTTGTGTTTTGTTTCACTCACATTTGAGTAACCCTGCATTACCAGTCTCCAAAACTGAAAATGCTCTGTTCCACCTTGCAATGTCATTAAGTGGTAGTTTTCAAGTTAACAGATACTTTTTACTGGCAATTCCTGGGCTGGAATGACTGATTCTAGTGAAGGTGTCTGGAGTTTAAAAACACAATGGAGCACCTATATTACCACATGACATCACAATGTGGAGTATTTTCTTTTTGAGAGATGAACTCAGTCTAAATTTGCAGGGTTTGTGTGTTAAACGTGTGAATAAAACACAACACAACTCCAGGTATGAGTTGTGTTGGGTTTCCAGAAGAAACAACATTATAACATAGATCAGAAAATAAAGTAATATAAGTCTTCAGACAAGCTTGCTGATGGATGGGAAGATATTTTGTCTACTGACTTCTATTGAAATGCCTCATATTGATGGAAAATTCCTTGTCATTGTCACAGCCCTTCAAATTCACTGCAGATGTTGGGTGTGATTTTGGTTTATTTTTACACTTGTTGACATCCTATTTGGGTGTGACATTTTCTCTTGTACTCATCAGACTACACTAAATCTTATGTAAATTAGTAGAGTTTTGGAGGTGTGATCTGACAGAGGCTGAGATAGAACTCTTTTAATTAGAAGGCAGGCGGTTGGCTTACTTATGTGGAAATGTATCAGCTACAATAATGAATTTTGAGAATCCTTTAATGAGGATGTTTTAAATCAATGTAGAAATGTCCAGAAATGAAATGAACTGATCTAAATACTGGATAAAGACAAGATAAAAACAAGATCTGATACATACAGATGTGATTTAAAAAGGAAATTTCTTTGAATGAGGATTTGCAAACACATCTGCGATCCATCTGATCAGTCTGTGCTTCAAATGACAATTTTAGTATAAAAACTGGCTTAAGAAAGATATGGACTGTAACAACATCCTAGTCAGTCACATTTCATTCATGGTTTTCAGCTTCCTGTTTATAGGACATTTTTGTTTCCTGGTTGGAAATAATGATAAAACACTAGAGAATTCCATAACTGTTACCTACACAGAAATGATTATTTGACAAATAAAATGAAAAGAAAATATTTTTATTTTGTTGATATAATGTTGAATGCATAGAAAAAATGTATTTCTTAAGTGTAAATTGTGCCAAACATTTGGATAGAATTTTCCTAGCGTGATTGTCATCAATGTTTAAAAGTTCCTGTAATTTTCAACATATTTTTCCACTTTTCTTGGCAAATTGCTTCTTGATTTGTGTAAAACTATAATTTATATTTACAATAATCCCCCAAATTAAGTCAAAATTAAAATGTCCTAGTGCATGTGGTGGTTTGTGAGTGTATAATGCAGCTCTCACCGTGATCAGAAATCACGATCAGATTGACACATTTGTGCAGGTTCTTCTCTTTGAGTCCGTCCATCAGCATGCCCAAGATCCGGTCCACGTTTTCCAGTGCTTCTACCACCTAATAACACAACCTAAGTTAAACATGTACATATTAAACATATTATAATGCTTAAAAGTGCACGGTGTAACTTTGCTGCAGTCTGCAATCAGTGCTGTTTCCATGGAGATGTTAATGATTTGGTTTAAATTTTCCACAGAAAGGTATTAACTAATCTGCCTTGCATGTACTCAACTACAGGGTTTATTTAGTGCACAAAAGTATCTTCAACACATTCATTCTTACTGTGAGTGGGGTCGCCTCTCCACAAATCCAACTTTTAATTTGGCTTACAAGTCTCCATGGAGATTCACAAGTTTATGGTCATACTGTGGAACATTCTGGGCACATCTCCATGGAGGCAAGCAGGTGACAGACCCTCCAGCAGACTAGTTATACAGTGTACCTTTTATCCACCCAGATAATAAAAATGTTTTTTTTTTCCATACTCAAGCAGCCCTAAAACAATAACCAGATAATACTCATATATATATAAGATAATACCTGAATATAGGACAGAACTCAAAGATTTTAAAGTAGGATTTGAAAAATGATTAACAATCTGTCACACAGTCTCATTAGACATTAGTTAACCTCTGTAGATTCAGTGACTAAACTGCTGATTCAGAAATAGAGGGGTGTACTGTATATTGTAATATGGACCTCTTTGCTTCCTGGACCATAACGATGTCCTGAAGCGTCTGGTTCTTCCAAATACAGAGTGAAGAAGTCTGGTCTGAAAACACAAGAGAAAAATTGAGTTTAGATTGCATGTTACATTTCATTATCTGATGCTTATTATACATACCTTTGTCCTTGAGGTAAGCTTAGCCATTCGAATACAGTTGTGACTCTCTTCTCAAAGTTGATAGTTCTGTGAAAAAAATAAAATAAAATAAAAATACATCAGCTTTTAAAATATGCTTAATTTTTGCAAACTTTGAGAATATGGCCTACAGATGTTCTCAAAGAGATAAGTGTAAGGATTACAAGATGCAAAAAGTAAAAGTTGCATGTTTTCTCAGTTTTAACTTGAAGGGCCTGTATTACGCTTTTTTCTGATCTGTGTTATAATGTTGTTTTCTCATCACAAACATACCTGGAGTTAAACATGAAAACCCTGCATATTTAGGTTCTCTGAAAAAGAAAACCCTGTTCCACCTTGTGATGTCATGTGGTAATACAGGAAGTGCTCTACTGTGTTTTTAAACTCCATACACCTTCACAAGAATCATCTGGATGATTTCAGTCTGGGAACTGCCTACCTCTATTGTACTAAATTTTGTTGAGGTTATTGTTGTTAACTTGAAAACTACAACTTCATGACATCACAGCATCACAGAGCATTTTGAGCTTTGGACATGTAGACAAACTAATAAAAAAGGATTTTTCAAACATGTGTGAATGAAACAATACACAACTCCATGTATGTTTTTAGGAGCTAACAGTATTATAACATGACTAAAGCTCACAAAAGTCAACTTTGCATAATATAGGACCTTTGATGTTGAAAAGATTGGGAACAATATGCGTTTTATTTTGCCAAATAACATTTTCTATTAACTATAACTTCAGTACTAAACAGATTAATTAAATTCACAAGATTCTGAAATACACTGTGCCACACTTACTTATCATACATCTTGTAGAAAGTGGGGAATTCCCCGGTGATGTTCACATCTGATCCGGGCCAAAAGAAGGTGGCTGTTCTTAAACTGTGACGCATTGCTGTCAGCCAAACCTGAGAAGAAAAGGAAAAAATAATATATACAATCAATTTAGTATAAGCAATGGGAAACTATTAAATTAGGCTCTTTTCTGATTTATGTTATTATGGTTCCTCATCACAAAAAATTTTACAATGTTGTTATCGCATCAAAAATGCATCTGGAGTTGTGTTTTGTTTCATTCACACGTTTAACACTCAAACCCTGTGTATTTACGCTGAGTTTTTCTCTCAAGCAGAAAACAGTCTGTGCCAATTTGTGATGTCAAGGTAATACATGAAGTACTCCACTGTGTTTTTAAACGAACTCACTAGATTTATATGGATCATTTCAGCTATAGACTTGCCCATCAGTACTGAACAAAAGATAAATTTGAAAACCACATAAAAACTACCACTACATGACATCACAAGGTGCAACAGAGCGTTTTGAGTTTTGGAGATGTAGACAGACTGCTAATACAGGATTGAAACAAAATGAATGAAACAAAACACAACCTCAGAGCAAACATATTTTGATGAGGTAATGACATTATAAATTGGACTAAAGTTCACAGTTTTTACATACTATAGGACCTTAAGTTAGGTTACTCAAACATGTGTTTAGTTTAGTTTAGTTTACTTATTTAGTGTCATGCACCATTTAGTTGGTGCCCAGCCCATATGGACTTATAAGACACATAAAACAAGAAGCAGACAGATCACACATCAAACATAAAGTGTCCTCTTATGGAGGTCCCAGGCTTTCAGCACAAACTGAGCCAACTTAAAAACATTACATTTAAACAAATAATTAAGTCTCTCCTCATCAGACATAACAAACCAACAGAAAGACACATTAGACAACAACTGACAGCGAAGGTCATGATACAAAGGACAGTAAAACAATAAATGCATATCATTTTCAATGTCCTTTAAATCGCACAGAGCACAAGTGCGCTCCTCCTCTGGGACTGAGTGGAAACGTCCCGTCTCCAAGGCCAGAGGCAGAGTCCCACACCTCAACTGGGCACATACTGTGTGTACTGTGTGAATGAAACAAAACACAACTCCAGGTGCATTTTTGATGAGATAACAACATTGTGACATGATTAAAATAGCAATTTTATGTAATATTGAATCTAACTCAAGTGGATTTAATTGTATTGTAAGATAAAAGAGTTCAAGATCTTAAACTATTCAAAATTGCAAATCAAATTCTACAAAATGAAATTCAACAGTTCCAAAAATAAACATGAATTTTGGCACAGTAGGTACATCAAAAATCAAAATTTCAAACAAGGACAGGACCCAGAGCTCAAATGTAACCCTGTTTTCCGTGTGCATGCCAGATGGACCATTTGGCACAACCACCCACAAACCTAAACACATTTTTCCTGTTGGCTCAAAGAAAGCAGGCTAAAATAAGCAAAAGCAATGGGAAGATTTTTGGAAAAACTCCCTCATGTTTATATCCAAACGTGTGCCTTTGGAACAAGACTTTGAAAAGATTTGGGCATAGATCAAGTGTAAATAAAGTCATCATGAAAGAGGGGTCTGATTCAGCAGACTGTAAGGACATTCCAAAGACAAGACTAAGAAAATACAATGACAAAAAGACAACGGGACACACAGTTATAATTTACAATGTACAAACTTGATAGATTTTGTAGTTTACATGCAAGTAATACTGTATGTTTATTCTTTAGATATATTGTACAAAACGTCGCACTACACTATCTTAATGTAAACCTTTTGTGCATGTTTCAGGTTAAAGCTCTTCATGTCAAGGTTATCTATAGCCCATATCCACCATTATGACAAATCTTAAAAAGCATTAACTTTACTCTACTGTGTGTAGCTATTATCATAAAAGGAAGGACAAAAGCACTCAAAGACAACTCATAATTAACTCAACGACTAACTCAATCTTACTAAATGACAGCTACAGGGTTTAGTCCATTACTATAGGGCCATTCCTCACTGGTCTGACAGCAAATCAATACGGACTAGACTGATCCTATAGACTGGGATACATAATATTATTCATGTATACAGTCTTGAAGGTGCACTTGTTTTTAATCATTACAGGAACATGCTTCAGACACATCACAGATAACTACTTCCTGCTGGCTCCTTCCTGGAAATCACAGTGTTTCTGTGTTTTCCAATGGAGCCGTCTGTCACTCAGCAGAAGAGAAGAGATTTAAGGAGGAAAACCACTAACTACCTCCACATCCCGAGCTGTCACATGCGCTGTTTGTTATATAAAGATCTGGATATGATGGTGAATTTTTTGACCATGATGAGAAACATTAACAATATAAGTGTCTGAAACAATATGTGCTGTATGTTTTTTGTTGTTCGACATTCAAGAAGTGTGCTGTTAGCATGCTAGTTGTTGTCAGCATGTAAAGATCTGGAGAAGAAGGAGAATTTTTGGACCTTGTTGACAAAAATGTACAATATATGTGCATCCAACAATGTCTGCAGTCTGCATCTTATTATAATGTGTTTTATTGTTTGACATGTTAGGAATGCTAACACTTGTAAAGTGTAAATGTTAATATAAAATAGTTCTGTTTTTCATGTTTTTAAAGGTGCACTGTATAACTTTTCTGGTGGAGAGTCCGGCAAATGCTTTTTCTCCGTGAAAATGTAATTGCTTTGTCTGGAAATCCAGTCCTTGTATTTGCAGAGGTCGCTGGTGCAAGGCTAGTGCATGTCAATGGCCATAGTTAGCCTGCCACTAAAAACTATTATTACGCAGACTGTCGATGTAAATATCTGTGTCGATAGTTTGAAATAACTATCAACACAGAAATAAAACTAACTTTGCAACTGTCGCATGTTGAGGGACTATTTTCTCATATATCAGTCCGCCGCTGCCAAGTTTTCTATCATTAAGTACAACTCGCTGCTACTGATCAGACATAAATGCATAAATGCAAGGTTGATTTTACTTCTAAAATGATTCTATCACCACAGACATTCACATTGACAATCTGGCATTATAATTGTTTTGCCTAAGGTTCTTTCTGAATTAGGTAAGACTGCTTTTAGTGGCAGACTAACTATGGCCTTGGAAATGCGCTAGCCTAGCATCAGCGACTTCTTCAAATACAAGAACTGGATGGAATATTTTAAAAAGTGTCTCCAAACGTCTCCAACACTCTGGCTCACTAGGAAATGAGGTCCTATGTCCTAAATTCCAAACTGTCCTTTTAAAGCTTTCTATCTTCATGGCAACAAACCAGATCAAGTTACAGGTCAGATCTGTGACACACAAAAACAAGACATGTTTTTCTAAGTATTTTTGAGTTATAAAACCACTTGTAATTAATTAAATGCAAGGCAGAGCTGTTTAATGGCATCCTGTGGAACATTCCAAGCAGAGCAATAACATCCATGGAAACAAACACGTGAAAGACCCCCAACCAAAAAGTTAGACAACGTATCTTTAAGACAGTAAAAATCTGGTGCGGTAACTTTAAACCAGAACTAAAATTTCTCTCAACAAATCTTCCTTGAAACTGTTCCTGTGTTTTCAAATGGAGCTATCTCATCTGTCGTGTAGCTCATAGATTTAAGGAGGAAAACCACTAACTACTTTCTCTGAGCTGTCACATCTGTCACCGCTCATTAAAATAAGTTTAAAACCTGCTCGAGATTTTGAAGCAATAAGGATTTGTCAGATAAACGTGTGTCTCGTGCCGTTCACTTCCAGATAATTACAGCAGGGCCCCAGTGGGATAGCAGTTTAAATACAGTAGGCTTCACGGCTTCAACACATAGCTAGCCACTAAATATGGGTTGGGTATCTTTCACAGGCTTTTTATTTTCTTTACAGTTAAGTCTGGCACCATGCAGTGTCATTGTGTGTACAGGAAATGGCATGTTTTCAAGTAAATAGGTTTGAAGTGCTACTTGCTTTGATTATGTGCTGTGATATTTAGAAAAAAAAGTGTGATAAAGATAAGTTTCAATGAACCTCTAAGAAGTGGTAGAAGCATTTAAGTTATGTGTTATAATACTAAAATTTCAGGCCACAATCATAACAATAACAATGATAACAAAACAAAAAAAAGAGCAATATCAAAACACTTTCTCTTGACAATAGAATGTGATTTTCAAGATTAAATAGTGGTAATTTCTTTAATATTACCGTACTATTTTATATCTGTGTAATCCCTCACTTGTATAAACTAGTCAATGTGCTCTTATACTTGTTTTGATACAGCCCAAGATCATTCTAAAGCTATTCAGAAAGGTTGAAAGTGACTTTTGTAGTACAGATACATGTTTTAATGAGTATCTAGTTTCAGTACTAGTTTCAGTATCGATTAGTACTGTATTTTTTGGACTATAAATCACACTTTCTTTCATGGTTTGGGTAGTCCTGCAACTTATATTCCCTTTCATCTTACATATTACAATTGTCACACTGACAGCCACAAGACTATTACTTGTGGCTGTGTATTACTACTACTATTACTTCTGTACCACTGTCACTTTGCTCTCTACTGCGCATGTCTCCTGCAGCAAGAGCCACTGTTCTGTCTGGTATCATGTCAGTCAATCGCACCATTACTTCTGTACTACTGAAACATAAAGACAACTGAAACCATCCTGTCGGGATTTAGAAAGGTCGGAATAATTCTAACTGGAACTGATGCTGAGTCTGACGACAGCTACGCAGAAGAGGAAGCGGTGCTCCGTTTACCTTTGGAGGTCACGGAGTTGCTCAGAAGTGACATCGAGGATGAAGAATTAAATGGATTTAGCGATTTGGAGTGAGATGGAGAGTTTGATAAACTTGTTATGTTCTGTTGTTTATGCTATAGTTATCTGAAAAACTGTTCATATGTGACGTTAACAGCCTGCTGTTCTCTGTTCTACTATACTATTACTATAACTTGCCTTTCAAGATGAAATGTCGGTTCCTCGTCTCTGATTTTATTAAATAAATTTCCCCCCAAAATTGTGACTTATAGTCCGAAAAATACGGTATCTGATTTTCGATACTTTTGACAACCCTGCCTTTAAGTCCATGTAATGAATAGTCTTAGAGCAGTGATCTCCAACCTGTAGCTCGGGAGCAACCAGTAGCTCTCCACCCTCTTCTAAGTAGCTCGCCAAGGGATTTCTGAATTATATGTACTTATATGTGCTTAATTACTAAAATCTGATTAATTACCACTGTAAATGTGTCATTTTGATGCCTAACTTGTGCACTAATAAACGGATAACGGTTTATGATTTATAGGCATCTAACTGTATCCCATCAGAAGCTTGCCATGGCTCTTCTACTTTCTCATCTTTCTTTCTCTACTTTCTTTTAGAAGAACCACGGACAGAGAGCTACTCATTTTAATTACCACCCAGATCTACTCATCCTCTTCCTATATGTATTTATTTATGCTCCGTTGGTAGTTTATGGAGACAGTCAATGCTCAAAAAAATAAGAATTGTCACTGTTGGTCACATTGAATGATATAAATTTAACAGTGCACTGTGTACCTCTTCTGGTATACTTATCTATCTCCATAAATACAAGTATGTGACACCACCAGACTAAGTTACACTTCATATCTGTGGAGAGGCAAGCCTACTCAACGTTCAAATGGGTTTTACTGAGCAATACAACACTGATGATTAAATCTCCACGAGACAAGCAGGTGATAAACCCTCCACCAGGAAAGTTACACAATGCACCTTTGAGCACAATACAGACATTATTCATGTGACAGAGAAGTCATTTGAAAATGCTGAAAAGTTGTGAAATTACATAGAGTCGGTCTATAAAAAAAGCACTATAATATCTGTTCATGCTGACACAAGGAGTATGTAGTTCCCCTCTTTAGCTTAATGTGAATGAGTCAATATTACTCACTGGTTCCCCCTGGTACCACTCTGCATTGAACTTCTCATCTGTTTTGAGACTGAAGAATGTGTTTCTCTTGACGTCATACATTTTGTTGTCGACTATACCATGGGACTCTGGATAAAGACCCTAGAAAGACAATTGACAAAAACAAACTATTTAGTGTTTTATAGACCTGGGCAATTGCATAAAACAGAAATGCGCTTAAAGGGCCTATATTTACACTATTTTTTGACCTGGAATTGTGTTTTGTTTCATTCACACATGTTTAACACACAATTTATTTAGGCTAAGTTCTTCTCTCAAACCATAAACACTGTTCCACCTTGTGATGTCATCTGGTAATACAGGAAGCGCTCCACTGTGTTTTAAGACTTCATACACCTTCACTAGAATAATTTTGATAATTTCAGACCTGGAATTACCAATGTCTACTGAATTAAAGGTAAAAAGTAGCTGTTAACTTGAAAACTACTGCTTCATGACATCACAAGGTGGAAAAGAGTGTTTTGAGCTTTGTAGATATAGACAGACTAATAACACAGGATTACTCAAACATGTGTGAATGAAGCAAAACTCAACCCCAGGTATGTTTTGATGAGGTAACAACATTATAACAGGTCTTAAACCTCACAAGAGTCAATTTGGTGTAATATCGGACTTTAAAAAAATAAAGCAAAATCGGCAAATCATATTCTGAAAAGACAATATTGATAATTTTATGCACACATTGCTCTAACCTAAGCAAAAAAAGATACTAGTGTCTATAAGCCAGATAAAATACAAATTAACTCTAATGTTGTTTAAAGAAATATTACAACTTACCCAAGGCATTTCCAGATTTATTTTAACTACACACCAGAACTAAACCCAGACTAAACTTCTACAAAACAAGGACAATCCTGGACTAAACCAGGACTTAACCCGCAATTTGTCCAAACTATTTGTGCAACATTTTATCTTCGTTTGCAATTATTCGTTTAAGTGTGCCTCCTCCAGCCATCCACAAGTTGCAAAAGCCCTTTCTCTAGATTTCCTCTGGCCCAATGGACCCTCCCCGTAATCTGTCTTCTGTCTGCTCTGAATCAAACCAAAAGGAAGTTGGTTGAGAAGGAACTTCACTGGGACAACGCTTCATTGTGTGGAATAAAAAATCGTCTTACTCACCGTCACAATGCTGTAGTGGTTTGGGAAGGTCTTGGTGGGATAGACTGGTCGCAGGAATGGAGTCGTGGTGCCATACTTCCCTAAGACAATACATGTATTTGTCAAAAAGTACTTGGTGTTTTGCAGTGTTAAAGGCCCCATACTACTAGTTTCTGATCTTGTTATGTTGTCTCTTCATCACAAACATATCTGGAGTTGTGTTTTGCTTCATTCACACATGACCTATGAGTTCTATTGTCAAACACCACCTTGTGATGTCACGTGGTAATACAGGAAGTGCTACACTGTGTTTTTAAATTTAAAAAACAAACAAAAAGCACCTTCACTAGAATCATTTCAGCCCTGGAATTACAAATCCCTACTGAACTAAAGATGAAAGGTAGCTATTAACTTGAAAATTTCTACTGCCTGACATCACAAGGGCATTCTGAGTTTTGGGAATTTGAAGACTAATAATAAGAAATTACTCAGACATGTGTGAATGAAACAAAACACAACTCCAAGTATATTTTTGATGAGGTAACAGCATTATAACATGTATTAAAGCTCACTTAATCATTGCATTAATATGGGTTTGATTCATGATCTAGATTGCAAAAGATCTTAACCACTGCACCCATAGTCAAAATCTACGAGAGGGGATTTTGTGACTAAAGTGTTTTCATAGTAAGTTTGTATGGTGAAGATATATGGCTTGTTTACTTAGCGTGTTGATGACAGGGATGTGGTTGCTGTGGTCCTTTAGATATTCTGCCCTGAACCCATCCAGAGACACCAGGATGAGAGGAGGTTTGCTGAACCTGGCCACCCCAAAAACAAGGAACTAGTTTGAGTACAACACAATAGCACACTCAAAAGAGAAACCTTAAAATTATCAAAAAGGAGGAACAAAAGACTAAAACTTATGCAAAAATTGCAAGAAAAAATATGCGTGTTGGTCGAGAAATGTTATTGTGCAATGGAAGCAACTTTTGTTTGACAAGTTTTTTTTTTTTGTTTTTACAGTAAGTGAGTCATATACATATTCAGTCAAAAATGTATGAACACAGGCTAATCTCTCCTTCAGTTTTACTTTATAAAAATATTTAGATAGAATTGAATATAACCCCACGGGATGAGCCGCATCTTTCCAGTATAGTTTTGTTTCTTGCTTATTACTTTGAACTCAGATTTCTCCCAAACAGTCAGGCTCATAACTTGGACTCTTTCCCTGAAGATGTTGGTTATGTTTTGGTCTGGTTAAAGAGTAGTCTTGGTTACCGTGGTTGCAAATACATAACTCATAAATCTGCACCAAAAATGAATGGCCTTTATATGTTATTTTTAGACACTCACAAACTGTAGGTCTGCTGTATGTCTATGTGATTTTAAAAGCATAGCATTACTATAAATAGACACTCACTAAGGTTTTAAATAATGGTTCTTAATTCAATTTTGGAAATACATATTACAAATCTCAAATTAAGAGTAAAGTAGAAAGTTTTCTGGCTACTGAAAACAAATACACATAAATGCTTGTGGATTGTGGATCATGTAAATTTAGGCATGATAATTTTGTTTACAGTTGAGAAAAAAATGTCATATATTTTTTTTATTATTCAATTATGCATTTAGCCGCCGGGTAGTGACAAAAAACAACAATTTATTTGCTGATGTTAGAAATAAAACAAAAGCACTTGTTATATATTTAAAAAAACAAAACATTAACAACAAGCATTTCAAGTCTTCACACTCAGTGCAGCCTGTTTTTTGCATCTGTAAAATTTTCCACAAAGTAATGAGGTCACTCCCAAAGCACTAAAAATTAGCATGAATTAACCATTAGCCTAGTTTCCACAAGTTTCCACATAAGCAGCCATGTTTTGTCGAAAAGAACAATAGTAGACTAGACTGGGCAGACTTTTCCATAGCAGCCACCCACAACACAGACTTGAAAAAAAAGCTAAGAGAAAACATAGACATTTCTTGGTTGAGAGCAGGACACAAAAACTCACCCAGGTGGGCACTGGGGCATCTGGAGGTCTTCAAATGTGCCCTGGAGCCAAACTTTTCCTGAAAACCAAATACAAAATCAGTATAATATTCAAAGTAGTGTTGTTAGATTTAAGGTTATAGCAAAGAAAGGAATAGACTGAGTTGTAAATGAATATTTCAATTTCTGTCTAAAAAGGCGATGCGGCAAAAGCAATATTTGATGGAAACTGTACTCATGAGACTACACCTGCACAGGAATTCATGCAAAAACAACTATTTATGCAGAGAGATGTACCAGGAAACAATGTATTTATAGAGATTAATTTATTTAAAACTAAAGATTAAACTTGAATCATGAGTTTAAGATGCCTTTTTACATAGAAATACCACATCTTCAACTTAAATAAAGTGATTAGTCAATGAATATAAATTTTCTCGGCCAACTAATCAACTAAACAACTAAAGGCCCACAGCCCTAAATATTTCTAGTTGTAGACTGTTATTATTTTATATAGACTACACACATACAACTGATTCCTCACTGTGAGACAAACAAACGGTCTTCTTTATTATTAGGAAGTAGTTTTTATTATGCAGTTCTGTTTTACTAAATCTACTTCCCTGCAAATTTGCAGTCACTATTACTGGCAAATGTTTCACAATGGGATCAATCACAATCATAGGCACTATGGGTTATTACAAATAATTTCTTCCAACAATCGGGTGGAGTTAAATGATTGTGTATGAGACGCACAAGAGAAGGGAGTTTCCGTTCTGGTTGGAGCTGCAGCTTTTGCGTATGTTTGATGTGGCCTGGTCAGAGTCCCATTACAAACACATGCAGTGCTCAAGCTCTAGCAAACAGGATTAGATACAGTTAGACACCCAGAGTTCATTGAGTTAAGGACATTAGATGACTCATGGCTTGAAAAAAAAAAAAAATCCCACTTCCTGAAAAGTCTCAATCGCTATCAGCACTACTAGTAATCTAAGACTGCGTCATTTAAGAAAATACCAATCATTTGTGTTGAAAGTTATATTAAATGGTCAAAAAGTCTATTTCAGTATTGGATTAAAATTAATCTTTTCTTTAGTATCAAACAACCATAAGCAAAATATTATGGCACAGGTACTAGGTACTATGACAACCTATGTATTGTATAAATACAGTACATGGTTGGGGAAATGACCACCAAAGTCGATTTACTCAGTTTAAATTTCCCCAGTGCATATGGAGCTGTGACATGTTTACAGCTCTGGTTATGGCTCTACGCTGGTCTAAGCTAAATGCTGACCAAAACTTTGATGCCAAAAGTTCCCATATCTGTACTTCACTTCTCCAACAGTGAGATTTATGTCTTGGTGACTTTCATTTATAGTTGTGTTTGAGAAAATCTTGGAGTTTGAGTGTATTTGGGCTCATGAGCTGTCATTATTTCTGGATGGTATCATTTAGAGCAGGGTCAGTGGTGTACTCTGGTTTCCTAAGAGCATTTCATCTGAGTACTGTCTGCAACATCTGGAAATATTAGAGATACAGAGAGGGACTTTAAGATCACAGCTGTCCCATATGGAAACCTCAAAGACTATAATAAATGTAATAATAAAAAATGATTTGAACAATGAACCCCAATAATAAAATATTTAACTGTTCTTTAGTGGTATGGTAATAGTAGCATGGTGGCCCACACTCTTAACCTGCCACCATGCTTTAGTTTTTCTGGGTGGGTTTCCTCCAGGCACTCCCCCATCAACCCAACCCATGCACAGTCGGTAAAAGTCTCCAGTTAAGATAGACTTTCTGTTTCTGACCAAACTGAGCTCAAGATCTGAGGATGGATCCCCAGGCGTTAAGGCTGGGTATCATCAAGAAGTTGCCAATACGATGATACATACTTAAATACACAGGGCACGATACGATACACATCTCAATACAGTGCACTTTCAATTCGATACAATATATTTCAAAACGATTTGACACAGTTCAATAAAAATAAATGCTAAATCATGCCTGTGTAACTGAATGTGTTTGTTAAACCATTTCTAGTGCAAAGTTAATCTGAAGCACACACATTTTATTCCTAAAAAACAGTGAAATCGTCAAATGTGTCACATAAACTAGTTTCTTTCCCTTAAATAAACAACAAAACTTTAGCGCTGTAACAAAATAATTGAGTAAAATATTCCATAAAATACTTGTGGCAATATATAGATACAGCAGCCCATGATATCAATACTGTATCATCAGATTCAGTGACATGATATATCGATACTTTGATATTTTTGCACACCTCTACTAGGCGTGGCATTCCAATCGGTCAAATTAATTAATTCAATTTAATTTAATTTTTAGAAAGGAATTGAAATTAACTCTGAATAACAAATTGAATTCAGGGCTTATATTCAAATATTTTATAATGTGCTTATAGTAAACATGAAGCAATATAAGAAAAAATGTCTTCTAATGTATTTGGAAATCATCATATTTATGTAGAAAGAAAGTGAAACATTCCCAGGAGAATCCAAAACAATTGTATAATGGAAAATTTATAAATTACAGTGCAATGTCAAATTTGTCTATTTGACATGTCTTTCCACTGACATCACCCACAGACCAGTGTATATCAGAGGCAACAAACATATCACAAAGAGCCCATTGTAAAAGCCAGTCTAATCTAATGCCTTGATACAGAACAATCACACATAGTATCCTCCATGTCCCTGAATGGTGTTTTGTGACAAAGTCTTTACTCAGCAGTTGCAGCTTTGGCCTGATTGAATCCTACTGCTGAGTGGATAGTAGACAGATGGGTTCTTAGCACGACAGAGAGAAAACCCGTCCTAAACCGAGCTCTGAGCCAAGTCCATGTGGTCTGGCCTGGACCAGGGATGAACAGGTCTACAGAGACCAGCTGCAGGGGCCTCCAACCCAAGGGAAAACCCACATTACACATGAACTCAACAGGGCTATTTCTGTCTGATTCATCTGATGCCAAGAGATTTCACCAGAAACACTTAGAACTAAGAGCTGGATATCAGATACAATATGGACTTTTCTGTAGCTTTTTCAGAAGGGTGGTGCTAAATATAGCACGCTACCGTGGTGCAGTATGTCGTTTATGGTGAGGAACTTTAGGAACAGGGTTAGCAAAGGGTTCTGATTAATAAGGTTATACAGGGATAGGAAACGGTTAAGTGCCAGCTATAACCTTTTCAAAAGCACATGGAAATTCCCACATTTAAAGGGCAAGTGAATACCACACACCATAGGCCTACTGAAAATTTGTAATATTGTGTGAAATAAATTCCCTAAATGTTGCTTGTTGTTGACTGAACTTGTAGTACTTGCAGTCTATTGTCTTGACCATTACTCCCTCAAAAAATAGTTTTTACAACAAGGTTAAAACAGTTATTATTATTCTTTTAATGCCATGCAAAAAAGTACCAATAAATAGACCCATGCTATCACGATTTAAAACTAATAGTGTCTATAATGTTTCTTTTAACTGTGTGGGGAGATGACGTTCGATTAGTTTCGTTCCGCTGTCATGTGATGCTCCTTAGGGAGACCAAGACAAGGTGGCAAGTCAGGCTACAAGAAAGTTGGTCCCCAAAAATACCAGTACTTCTGCAATTTGGCAGCATTTTGCCTTCAGGTGCACATTTGTTTACGTTTTACAGAAATTAAACTTAAAACCACATGGCTCATTTTCATAAACTATAAAGCGCTGATAAAAACAGCTGTTTCCTTGTGCGCTGATGCGGTTCAGATTCTGTCGGACTAAAGGACACGACTCAGTGGATTATGTGTTCTTTCTGTGACAGAGGATGTGTGGCTGATACTGAGTCTGTTCTGTACATGTGTGTTGGAGATGGTTCCTGTGAAACTTTTCTGAGATTTTAAGTCTGCAGGTCATACGCGTAGACCATATAGCTGTGCGGCTTCGTAGCTTACCAAAATTGTACTAAAACATTTTGGTAATACGGTAATACCGTATACCCCCGATAAAATCCTGAGAAGGTGATCAAAATTTGGATACCGCCTAACCCTAGTGTGATACTAAATAAAAGCACTAGAAGCTCTGTTACTCATGTTAAAAGTAATCTGAGTTTTATTTTAACACAGTCTGAAAGAGCTGACTTGGTTGAAACTACATCAGATGGTTTGATGGTCTCTGACACATAAACACACAGTTTTTCAGTTAGTCACGCTCACCTTCTTTATTGAAAATCAATCAATCATGTGCATCACAGGCTCCTGAAAATGTGTTGTTTTAGCATTTTTCTTGAGATTTCAGATGATCTAAAAACTTTTTTTTTGCTGTGTTTGCTAAAGTGAGCATTGTGTCACCATGGTAACTGATGAACATTCATTCTGCCAATATAGAGATACATGTGAAACACCCCCAGAGTGATGTTAGTGTAAAATGTTACTGGAAAATATCAATATACATTTTAGTGACATTACTGACATCAAACAACAGTGTATAAACCAAATTCTCTTTCAAATTCACATAGATAAACATTCCTTTAGTATGTGAGCAGCTTTGGAAAGTCAAACTTTGTGAATGTTACTGTGACATAAACAGCCAGATAATAAAGTAATGTACTGCTAGAATTGAGGTAAAAGATTGTATTATTATTTGCGAAAAAAAAAAAAAAAGACCCACCTATTTCCATTCAGCATGACCTTTACAGTGTGGACAGCTTCTATATAAAGACATTGGCTGTCTTCAAACTGCGCTGGCTTCATATGTTTTTCATACTGAGAGGGTGTGAATGCCAAAGCACTGCCCCACCCGTGTGTGAGAGGGACTTCTACCACAGTCACCAGGATGTTTTTGTGCAGCGGTTTAACACAAAGAACATTCAGATTCTACTGCCCACGTCCAGCCAGAGAGACACTTAAAAATATTCATCAGAGTTTGAATTTGCTGTTTTCGACATGTTAAAAAAGAGAGAAGACACAATTCTCACAACGCTGTCCACATGTCAAAGGTCATCACTTCAGCTGTCAGTCTGTGTTGTCCACAGCATTACTGGACCTCCAAGAAAAGACAGTAAATAATGTTCAATGAAAAAGAAAACTAAACAATCTGATGTATTATATTTTCATGTTATGTTATAATGCTGTTCCCTCCTCAAAAACATGTCTGAAGAGATTTAAGATTTCATCCATGCATGTTTCAGTAATTTAGTGATCTCTCCCGGCCCTATTCGAACCTTCCTTAGCTGTAAGTTAGCTGTAAGATTCTGTCCAGTGCTCAAACAAATACAAAAAAGCATGACACAAAACAATCACAAAACTGTACGCAACAACGTGACAAGACTGACAAGATGTGCAGTAGTTTCATTAGTGGAAAGCACACCGATTATGTTGTGATAGCAGTCTGAAGGGGGAATGCGGAGAGTAAAGGGAGGGGAGATTTGGAGCATCAAATACGAAAGTGAAACTTATAAAACATGTTAATACGTGTTTTTTGGCGAATATAACATTTTCAGTACAATAAAAGGTAATATAAATATAATATAAATATAAAGTAAAATACCCTCTCATTATTAGACAAAGTACACAAAAATAATACTATCTTCTAGGGATGTAACAATAACCGAAATATCGTGATTTCGTATTGTCAGAGTTCTCACAATAATATCGTGGACCATCACAACATATCGAATTTCAAGTCTCTTTACTTAAATTAAGAGTTATGGTGCAGCAATAGCTAAAAAAAAGACAGAGGGAACTACATAGACCATGATCCTTTGCTCCATTTCAGTGCAGACTACATGAGGAAATAACAGTTCTAAGCACTTTTAAGTCTTAGTTCTTAGGATCAAGTCTTGTCAAAGCATTTTAAGAGGAAAAAATAGCACATTAACAGTTCTGTACGCAGCCTCCACAAAATATTACAATAAATATCATACGGTAAGATGTGTATTGTGAAAATATTGTACTGAGATTTGGATATCGTTACATTCCTAATCATGAGCCTCCCCACCATATTGTGAGCTTTCCCACGATATTGCAAAAAATATCGTACCGGGAGGTTCATACCATGACGATATCGTATCGTGAGACTTGGAATATCATGACACCCCTACTACCTTCTGAACTGCACAATTAACTCTGACATAATAATATAAAGACAATGGTTTCAAATAGTTTCATTAGTTCACTTCCTACATTTAACAACAATTCTTACTACAATTGTTCTGAGGATGGCACTGCCTAATTTGACTTTCTGACCACAACTAGTCAGTCTGAAGAATCTTGCCAAAGGACAAAGCAACAGTATGGTCTGACTCTGAACTGTAACTGAATAGCCATTGGAGACACAGTGTACCTTCCTTGGATCACTTTTGACACTGATCACTACAGACTGACACAAGAGCTGCAGTTTTGTGATATGACCTATAGTCTAGTAATCACAGGGCCTATTGAAAATGCTTATAAAGTCTATCCCCACTAACAGGTGTCATGATAAAGATACTACTGTTGCCGGGGGTAATAGATATACATTAGACTTTCTTAGGCTTTTACTGCCAACAGCTTTCAGTTTCTGCTGGATTTCCAGAGGTTTACATTACATGTTCAGTCTCCTCATATCCTCTGAATCCTACCAGCTGCTGTGGGCTGTAAGTGCCATCACATACACTTATAAAAATACACTTGTTTTCTGTCTGTTGCTGGTGTTGTTGTGACTTAATTTACCCTTTGCGTTCAGATTTATTTAGTCTGCATTCCTACGCAACCAAACAAATCTGCCAACTCAGACTATGTTATTTATGCTTCAGGAAGTCGCGATGAATAGCAAGTGGGAGTTTTCTCTTGAGGAATGAAATGAATTCAATTATGACAATTTACATACCAGCCATTTAGTTCAAGCAAACAAACAAGAAAAATTAGCGTAAAGCTACACAAATCCAAGTCCACAAAACTGCCCTGGCTGACACAGGGAAAAAATAAACCAGGAATAAATCAGGTCTAAATTGTCACTAAATCCATTTCAAACTAGGACAAACAAGAGCAGGTCCAAGTCTAAAATAGGGCTTAACTAAACCACAAAAAATGTGATCCTTTAACCAGATCTAAACAAGGAGAACAATGAAACACATTGTAGTATTGGTGCCACTACCCCAGTTTGAGAACCACCCTGTAGACTGCTGTATGTCAAGTCTTCATAGCACCATAAAATGCATGCACCTCTCTAATAAGCTGAGAATAATTGGTCTTGGCACAGGTCCATAGTCTGCCTCAAAATCACGCCTGCTTCACAGAGATATGAGAAGAGTTGTTAACGGTTTTAAATGATCCACCAGCACTGCCAGAGCTTTTGTCTTAACTTATGTCCAGTCTGAATAGCTGCAAACAGATTAGCAATGGACTTCTGGCAAAAAAGTTTTCCGAATGTAGAGAAATGTAACCATGGATTCTGCTACTGTCCTAATGGAATTTGATTACAATGTAGTGGATCTATTATTATTGGTGAATTGTGATTACATTAAATCAAATGTATGAAATGTTGATGAGAGGTCCATTATTTGCTTGTTTCCATGGAGATGTTATTATTTTGCCTAGAATGTGTATTAAACTTGCCTATCTTGCATGGTTCGTTTACAGGATTTGTAAGGCAAAAAAATACCTTGAAAAAGATGGATTTTTATTGTGAGTGGGGATGCTTCTCCACAGATGTGACTTGTAACTTGGTCTAATGGTGGCTGATAAGTGTAATGCATAACTATTGAACATTCCAGGCAAAGCAACATTTCTATAGAGATAAGTAGTGTATACTCCAACATTAAAGTTACACAGCGCACCTTTAAAGCAGAACTAGAAGTAGTACATATTATGAATTTTAGTGCATTCGTTTTTGATTTTGTATTAGACTTACCCTTATCTTTGCTTCCTTTCTTCAGAGAGAAAGCCACAGCCAGTACGATCACCAGAAAACACAGCAGCAGAACCTACACACAAAAGAAGCCACAGTTTTAAGGTTTAAGGCAGTTTTGAGTTGTAAGGCAGATTTCCTCTACAGCACAGATGACATTATTCAGAGATACCAGACCTCACATGGAAATGTTTAAACAAGGGAAATACAAATACTAACAGGAGTAAAGAGGAGAAAGAGGAATTATCAGCAGGCTGTCAATTCTACTTTGTTACTATCAAACTGAAGGATTACAAGTCAACAGCAGCAACAATATTTAGTTTTCTAGTGATAGGCGATGTGCTTTTCGTAAATGTGTGTTACTTCAAGAGTGGGTTGTGGTCCAAATATGTGTAACTGAAACACATGAATGTTGAGTCGGCCTACAGTTTTAAAGTTAATCTTGAATCATGAATGTTCTGCCAAGGTCAGTAAAATGGTCAAGGTCAGTTGTCCCTCTTGTGTATGTCAGAGGTACACTAATGATAGTGGGTTTTTGTGTTACTATATGATGAGTTAAAATTTATCAATCACAACCATCTCCTCTGATTTTACCTTTGACCTCTAAGTGTACAGTTAAAGTGGTCTGAGAAAACATGTTTGGGGAGATCTTTCACTGTCAAAAACATTAAGCATTTTAGTTTGTGTGTTGAATAAGAAGTTGTGAAAGTTTCAAGTCTGTACTTCGTCACATTTCAGAATTAGATCATAAAACATATTGCAGTATCTGTGAGCAGTATCTAGTAAAACAACACAAAAGTGCAGTATCTGCATTTGAATTTGTCAGTTACAACCATAGACCGTATATATATATATATATATATATATATATATATATATATATATATATATATATAGTATATATATATATATATATATATATATATATATATATATTATATATATATATATATACACACACACACATTTGACTGGAGCTAAACGCTGTGAGTGACGTCACACTCACTTAGTCCACTTTTATATACATTCTATGGTTACACATTCCTTGCTGCAGTTATTGCACATTTCCTCTGAATCACTGTAGTTACTGTAAATCTCACATCAGGATTTCTCAAAAATGAGATAGAGTTGGACCATAAAACTTTCTTTCTGAAGAGATTTGTTAAGAAAGTGGGTGTCTCAATTTTGACAGAATATGCAGTTGCTACATTTTCCTTTGTAGGGGAGGATACATTTAGAGCTACAGGTTGATTGATGTGTCCTGTGTCCTGATTTAAACCCTTTTCCTCTAATTATTTATGCAAGTAAAGCAACTTCCGTTCTCTGCTTTAAGGTTAAGCTTCATTGTTGAATCCCTCAACAATGTAGGGGAGTTTCCATCTGTGTGCTTTAATTTGACATAGGAGGCAAAGTGCATATGGGTGCTGCTGGAGAAAAGAAAATTGGTCAGAAAAAAATGGTATTGCTTCTTGTCACCTGATCAGCCTATGCTACTCGTGCCTGTCCCGTCATTCTATATTATAAATGCTTTCTTTCTGCCCACTTCTAGCTTCCATTTTAGATTGTATGTCCACAAACCTATATTTGACTCTACCCAGCAAAATCATCAGCCCCCATAGAATCCCATAGACTCCTCTTCACTGAAACTGTTAGAACTTCATTATTAGGGTTGTCAGACTAGTATGCACCCATGGAACACTATGGAACATACCAGGACAACTGAGTGATCGCACAGCTAACACCACATATATAACATAAAAGAAAGTACTATGATTTAATGTTGAAAGTCTAATATAAAAATTTTGATTGTGATATCGTAGTCGGTATTGAGTATTGAGTCTATTCCTTAGTATCGAAATTGAGTTTGATCTTTTAGTATCTTGATAACAAAGCAGCCAAAGCATCCAAGACTCCATTAATAAACACACTTCTTTATAAACTTAACTTGCATTATTCTAAGACATGATGCATTAGCTTAAAATTTGCCAAACATGCTACTGCTGATTATTTCCTTATGTTTCTCTGTTCCATATGTTCTCTGTAGTGGATCCAGCACATGGCTCACATCTGGTTTTCTCAGACCAGCCCTGTGTAATTAAAGGGACATTTCAGTTCGGATCCACTCAGTCCCATGTATGGATGTCAAGATGGCCGCCACTGCGCGCTCCTGCTTCCCACTACACAGAACCTCGAGCCCGTGTCAGGTCTCAGTCCCCTGTGTGTAATTAGTGCTTGAGCTGAACTGTGGTTCGGAGCCAGATGTTTAGGATCATGTATGCAGTTGTCATGACGAGGGCCCCCAGTTAAGTGTGTTTCCCACTGAGCAATCAAGAAAGACTCTAAATTCATGTTTCAAAGCTTTTCAAATGGGAAATTTAGCTTTATCTGCTGTTATGATTTTCTTAAAAAAGGGTAAAAGGTCATATATGCTTGTCTCTAATGTTACGGTTTTAATGTTATGGAGTATAAATTACAGGTCCAATCTGCGGAAAGGCTAGACCACTCACAATAGGAAAGCATGATTTTCAAGGTTTAGTCTTAGCAATAAAAGCACATGTAAGGAAATAATTGCAAAATGGGTAAGTTTGAAGGTGCAATACCTGACTTCTAAGGAGGCGGGTCAGCCACTTGCTTGTCAGAGCAGAGATTAAGGATGTAACAATAACCAAAATATCGTGATATTGTATTGTCAAAAGTCTCACAATAATATCGTGGACTGTCACAATATATCGAATCACAAGTTCCTTTGGTTTTATAGTAACAACAGCTTATGAACATCGAAAACTACATATCCCATGATTCATTTCAGTGCAGATAACATGAAGAGGTATGTTTTTTACTTGAATTATTGGGATTATGATGAAAATAATTCACACCAAAATCTTGTCAAAGTATTTTAAAACCAAAAAAATGTGTTCCATCTACAATTATATCAGCCTCTTCAAAATATCGCAATAAATATCATACCGTGAGATTTGGTAGAGATGTTTTTTTTGTTTTTTTTTGCATGTAATGTCCCACAGCATGGCATTAAACTTATCTGCTTTGCATGTATTCAGTTATAGGCGCTGAAAAATACCTTCAAAAACATCACTACTACCGGTATGTGCAGGCTTCTCCAGTAACTGTCCAATAACTCCTCATTGTGATAACATTATTTCCATACTGTAAAATATCCAAGGCAAAACACTTTCATCTCCACGGAGACAAGCAAGTGGCGGACCCTCCACCAGAAAATTTTCATAGTGCACCTTTAATGCCATACTATGGAATCTTCGACAAAGCATTACATCTCCATGGAGAGAAGGAGCTGCATGCTTGTCTCTTTTTTATATACTTTTAGAAGTTTGAAAATCATCTGAAAAGAAAAGGTCTATAATTTTTTTAATCAGTAAAGAAAAAGTCTAGGATGTTGCCTGAGGCCTGCAATTAAAGAAATAAACAAGCTTAACCAGAACAAGGATAGTCATGACATAACACCACAATTTCCCTTTCCCTTAAGTAACTCACAGCTAAGATCTGTGGGAATATTCTCTGTAATAATAATCCCACTGGTGTGATCCTTGTGGAGCAGACTTAAATAAATGTGTCTGGAGCGTGGTGTCTGGATATAAGAGTGTTTTTGTGTTGAACCAGGACCTGTGCTGCTGTTACGAAGGGGAAAACCTGGAGACGTGGGTTTGCTAAAGTAAACACTGTCTACAAATATATATACTCTGTGATTTTACACTTCTGTCAGCGTCGTTAGGAATGGCAAGAGGTAAGTAAAAAGTAGTATGGTTGTAGTATACTGCTACAGAAATTTTGCTAATCAAGAAATTGCACAAGAAGTCTTCCAATTAGTAGCTATTTAGGCTGTGAAAGGGCAGTGAATATGAGATTTCTTCTTAAACTGACCCAGATGAGGGCACATGAGGACATCCTGATGAACTATTTTTACAGGTTTTCCAACACAAATACCCTAAAACCTCTTCTCTCAGCACAATACTTGTTTTGGAGTCTGTGTACTGTCCAGATAATAATTATCTGATTACTAAATTAGTAGACAATTACCTTAATATTTGATTAGTCATTGTAAAACGATAAACTTGTTTCAGAAATAGACATTAGTGAATAAAACAGAGAGGGCATGCGCTATAAAAGATTTGGATACTGTGTAATTACCCTATAAAAAGTTGAATCCAAAATAGAGAGTAATAACTACCAACTCTGAATGAAAAGTTTCAAACTAAGAGAAGTAACACTTGCTATATCTGTTCTGCTACCAAAGTATTACAAATACACTTAAAATTTACTTTCAGAAGTATTTTCCCAAAGCACTGTTACATTATAACACGCCCAAGGCTCGCTTTTGAAACCTGACTCATGGTTGGCAATACAGTGCACTCTTATATCACCAAGAACAATACATTCGAATATGAGTAGATTACAGTGTGGTTTGGACCAGAAGTTCTCCACATGTATCTCATTTACACATGCTGATAAACTTCCTGAGCACTGAGAGGGCGTGTACGCAGCAGAACAATGGTCCTGCTGCTATTGTTATGAAAATATCAATGAAATTATTACTCTATAACTCAGATTCAAACCACACTTTTGCACACAGTTCATTTGAAACATTTAGAACAGAGCAAATGCAGCTCCCTAAACTAAAACACTAACACAGGACTTGGTTTAAATCCAGGAGGAACCACCATGCACAAGCAAAAAACAAGACAAAATTTTAAAATGGGCCTAAACCTGGAGCTAAATCTTGACTAGACAAAGGATCAGGACTATACAGGACTATGCCAGGACTAAGGATTGAAACCAGGATGAAATGTGAGCCTAAAGATGGTTGAAAAGAGCTTTTTTTTTTTTTTTTAAACTGCTGACTTGCCAATGTTGATTAGAACTAAACTTAAGTGATTATTTGCACCACACTGCCCTATATCTAATTATCAACAAGTACTTTTTGACATATTAGCCATTCATTACAACATCTAAAATCGAAATTTTCACAAGATCTAAAATTGGGTCCCAAGCCCATGCGCAATCAAAGACAAAACAGCATAAAACCGTGACAGAATCAGTCCCTCGTCTGGGTACTATTCCTGTGTTTAACTGTACAAATAAATCTAAAAGTAGCAGCGTTAATTTGGAAAAGTGTGGTTAAGCCTTAAGCGCGCAACATGAGCCGTTCTGTATCAACTTAGTACAACTGCACAAAAACAAAAGCCATATTCATTCACAATTAAACCTTTAGCCATGGGCTGTTCCTGAGGTGAAGTGTCAGAGGTTTTCAAGGAAGAAAGAACTAACCTCAGCATTTTAGCAAAAACAAACCAAAAAGAAAAAAAAAAACCAAAAACAAGCAGTTAAGTTGAAGAAGTTAAAGTGCAAGTATTTAGTAGTAGAAGTAGTGATAATAGCAGTGAAAGTAGTGATAGCATTTGCAACACAGGCTTAGACTTTTCCAATCATAAAAGAAAAGCACAAACACTTGCTTCACATTGTTCAGCTACGCATTAGATGTAAGGAGTGTATCTAATGTCTTGCCAAAGTACACAATGGCAGTATGATACGCTGGGGACCACAAACAAATGATGCAAACCTCCTGAGCTATTGGACTTTACTGTTGAAGCAGTAGTAGTTGCAGTATGGTGGTGAAAATAAAAGTAAAAGTTGAAGTTGTAGTAGTGTATTGTGATCTTATTGATACTCATTTATTGATCCCTAAAGGTGCACTGTGTAACTTTTCTGGTGGGGGGTCCGTCAAATGCTTTTCGCTATGAAAGTGTTATTGTCTGGAATGTTTCACAGTCTGCATTAAACCTTTCTATCTTCATGGAAACCCATATTTAGGGTATTTTTGAGCTATAAAACCACCTGTAATTGAATAAATATAAAGTAGAGCTGTTTAATGTCATACTGTTGAAGATCGCAGGCTGGGCAGTGAAACAAACAAGTGATGTCCTATCCACCAGAAAAGTTACACAGTGCACCTTACATCAGGAAGTTCAATATTCCAGAGGGAGAAAATAGTATGTCACTACACACAAGTGAAATGTAACACAAAGTTATGATTAAAAAGATCTATTTGAGTAAGTCCCAGACAGTTTGCTGAGTCTGTCCCTGGCATCTTTCAGTCAGAGCAATGCCAGAGTAAACATGGGCAGAATAGTACAGTGAAACAGGAGATATGTGAGATTTTTCTATGGCACACATTTAGGTCAGTGGAGAGTGAGGTTTGATTGCATTATGTAAAAGCGGTGGGTGATTCATGTAGTAATGAACTTTTAGCATGTAAGTGGTAGTAGTAGCTGTTGCAAAGTGTTAACTAGCAGTCCTGTCATAGGTTGTAAATTATGCTAAAAACTGCATTGTGTCTGTGCATTCTCAAGAGGGTGTTAAATATTAAAACCAGGTGAGTCTCTAACAGAAAATAGTAAAAATTCTAGTGGTTAAAATTGCATTATGAGTTTTATGCACAGCTAGATAAATCATAAGGTTGAACAGTATGGTATAAAGAGTGCCATCTAGGAGTACTAATTACTGATATTACAATGATAACATGAGTATTTGCACGAATAATTAAGTTTTATGTTCACATTCTAGCTCAATATTGTCTTGCACCCACTGGATTTCATCAATAAGGCAACCTTAAAGAAGTCTATCAATCATATTTATACTATTGCTCTAGTCTACAATCTACATAAAACAGTGCCATATCCCATCCAAAACTCCTCACCGCTATGATGACTTTCCAGTGGCTGTTCTTCTTGCCCGTTGCCCGCCTCTGGTTCTCCGGGTCCGGGCTCCTGAACAGAGACGCCGCCTGCTCCGCGCTCCGGTCCTCCGCTGATGATTTGGCCGGGTCCATGTTGCGCAGAGGAGTCGTGTGGTGATGAGCAGTGAGTGGAATCATATGGACCCGGTCTGCTTAGCGCCGCCTCGATCCCGCATGACGTCTTTTGGGCTTTACGAGTATTGCGCGCGGTAGGGTCTCTTTTAATCTCCTTGGTGCTTTTGAGGAAAGGCACGCATTCTTGTCAGCAGCAGCCCCAACATGTAATCAGACACATTTTTAATGAAGACAGCTTAAAGGTGAAGTTAAGTTAAAGAGTAAACGCTGGGCCAGTTTGCACGTTTTGCGTCCAAGTGTGTCTGAAGTGTGTAAACTTTATTACTCAAGTATGCGCACCTGAGAATGTGACTGACCTCTAGTGGTAGGTTGAAAAAACACTCTAAATTAAAACCACCCGCGTTTCAGCATGCAGCAATCAAATACTTTTTAATCAAGTAAGTGGATGTTTGATTGATTTAAGCATTATAGGCATTAGGCATTGTTGTTTTATAGACTGTTGGTCTGAGTGTAGCAAAGGAGACTGCAGAGCTCTGGACACGTGCTGGACAAGCATGTTAAATGTCATCGTTGCTTTAAATCACCTTTTATCGTCAAGACTTTAAGCCCTTGTAGCCACATAAACTACTTTATTGCATTTCTCTTGCTATAAATGTCAGTCTTACAATGAAGACACGCGTTATGAGGGCACTTATATGAAAGAAACATATAGCAAAACTAATAAACCAGGTTTCATAAAAGATACCATAAAATATGACCGTGTATTGGTACATATTGATACATAATATACTGTAGACTATATATTTGTTCTTTGTCGATCACCAATTTCCCTTATATCAACAACGATTATGAGGCTTGAACGTTTTTCTGTCATCGTGTCACCTTGAAAAATAAGTATTGCTGGGTTTTGGATGATACCACAACACTTTATAGGCCAAGACTATTTAATACAGATGTGGGCAGCTAAAATAATGCAGATTTTTGTTATAATAGTGCATTCTTGGGTCTAGTCTGTTATAGAACTGATCAGGTTTAGCATTTTTGCATTTACCTTTTGGATATTTCATGTCAAAGTCAGTGAAAATCTGTCTCTTCCTCTCCATCTGGAAGTATGGCATCATCAAGTAGAGTCTAGTGTCTGAAAATCAACAATAGTGGCTTTAGAAGAATACTTTTTTGGGAGCATTAACCAGGTGCAGCGACTTTCCTGTAAGTCAGCTCCACAGAAAAGAAACCTACCCAAAATGCACCTCTCCTCTGGTAGTTCACACACATCTGGAAACAACTGGGGCCATGTGTGTTCTGTGTGTTATGTAAACAAAGGGAGGGCAGGGTCACACTCACTGATACATTCTGGCCTCCATACTTCAGCCTAACATGATGTAGGCCAGTGGTTCTCAAGCTGTGGTACGTGGATTCCTTTGCAGTACAAATATTTGCTGAATAGAGTCGATTCAGTCCACATCTTTGTCTGTCTTTGGGTTAGTCCTTGGTTAGAAGTATAGCAAGTTAATGCTGTTGGCCTGGCTTAACACTTTATAATCCTGGCTTAGACCTAGTTTATCTGATCATACTCCAAACGCCAAATATTCAGTGTGGTATTTGAAGTGTAAAGTTTAAAAGCCACTGATTTAGGTAAAGAAAAGTTAACAAAAGGTCAAATAAAAAGTATCATGTAATGTTTAGTTTAGTCTTGCGATACGATATTGTCACGGTATGAACCTCACTGTACGATATTTATTGAGATATTTTGTGAAGGCTCAAAAAACTGTGAATATGATACTTTTTACTCTAAAAAATCCTTCACAAGACTTAACCCAAAAAAACAATAGAATTATTTTAGAAGTGAAACCAACCTTGCATTTGAAGAATTTATGTCTGAGCAGCAGCAGCGAGTTGTATTTCCTGATAGAAAGCTTGGCAGCGACGGACTGATATATGAGAAAATAGTCCCTCACCGTGCGACGATTCATGCGATGTAAGGTTAGTTTTATTTCAAACATTATTATACAGACATTCACACGACAGTCTGGTGTAATAATAGATTTGCTTTGAGTGCTTTGTGGAGTGGGTAAGACTGTTTTTAGTGGCAGGCTAACTATGCCCATTGACATGCGCTAGCCTAGCAGTAGCAACCTCTGCAAATACAAGGACTGAATGGAATATTTTAAAAAGTGTTTCCACATGTCTCCAACACTCTGGCCAACTAGGAAATGAGGTCCTATGTCAAAAATGCCGAACTGTCCCTTTAAAAGTGCTTAGAACAGTTATTTCTTCATGTAGTCTACTCTGAAATGGAGCAAAGGATCATGGTCTATGTAGTTTCCTCCGTTTTTTAGCTATTGCTGCACCATAACTCTTAATTTAAGCAAAGAGACTTCTGGTTCGGTATATTGTGATGGTCCACGATATTATTGTGAGCCCTTTGACGATACAATATGATGATATTGCAGTTGTTACACCCCTTGCACGCAAAATTCTTTAACGCCCTCTATAAAACTATGTACGTCATATTAATATTAGTTTTATGTTCAGTATATTCTGTGCCAGTATGTACTCAGTTCATCATATAATATTGAATTAGGTGCTAGTTCAAGTGCTAGTGGTATCAATGCATGTTCTCCACAAGAGGGCACTGCTGCAGCGTCCTTAGCCCTTGTCCTTTCGAGCCAGCGCACTCTCAAAGTTATTTTCCCAACGTAAACATCAATTTTACTGCTATACACGCGCTCTTATTCCTGTGATTCGAAACTCCTTGCATGAAACATAATGGACCTCACACTGCCTCGACCTTTCACCTCTGACCTGTCCTCCCCAGCTGTAGTTTTTGTTTTAGTTTTGTAGTTTTCTTGTTTTGTTTGAAGACACAGTTTGATGGTGTGATGTTGATGTGAGAGAATGAGGAGAAGAGGACAGCATGTCTTTAGCTCAGCATGTCCGTGACCCAACTGTCCTCAAGAGATCTCCTCACCCACGTCTTGAGCAGGCACGAGGGCAGATTGTAACACCCCCTCTGACCTCAGTGTGGGAGCTCAGGGCAGTTTGTGTGACTTTGTGCCAAAATAAGAATCAAGGAGAAAGGAAATACATTTGCACTGGACAAAGAAAAGACAGCATTGCACTGCATGACGGTTTTAAGTATTGTTATGTGGCCAGTTGTTCTGAAATGTTTAATAATTTTGTTAAAGGTGCACTATGTAACTTTTTGGGTGGGGGTCTATCAGAAGTTTTTCGATGGATATGTCATTGCTCTACCTGGAATGTTCCACAGTATGACATTAAACAGCTCTACCATGCATTTATTGAATTGTTATTAAAGTGTTTTAGCTCAAAAGTACCTATAAAAACAACATTCTGGCTGTGAGCAGGGTTACTTCTCCACAGATCTGACCTGTAACTTTGTTCTGGAAAGGCTTAATACCAGACTGTGAAGCTTTTGAGCCATAACATCACCATGGAGAAAAGCATTTGACGGACTTGCCACTAGAAAAGTTTCACAATTCACCTTGAAGGCTTGGGAGGTGACTGCTGTTGTGACTTTGGGCTAAGAAAAATAATCAATCACTACTGTTGTTAGCAAGTATAAACTATATAAAACATAATTCACTTTGCAGATAATATTTCAGAGAAACAGCTGAAAGCCAAATTCATAATTCATCTCAGAGTCTAACAGTGAATCTTGAAGGAGTTCTGATAAATCTTTAAGTCCAGCTGAGTTCATATTTTATTCATCTTCGCATAGAGACTTGTTGCTTTTGGTCATTTTTTGCTGTTTTTCTTTTAGTTTAGTTTTTTAAACTCAGCTTCAACATGATCCATCACCTGGCCTTTCCCTCTGTCTTTGTATGTATTATTTCTTCTTTAAGGTCAAAGAGAGCTGACATAACATTATCCAGTATATAATGTCAATAATATATCTGTCTAAACTTATTTACTGCAGGCTTTTTTGAAAAATAATCTAAATTCCATAATAACGTGTTGACAAAATGTTAAAAGTGGTCAACACAACTGTATTCTTGTAATAAATTAGTATATTTTCCATAGAGTATATTGTAAAAACATACAAGAGTCATAAGAAATGCTATAGGATTGATTTCACAGGTAATGCATGTTAAAATACAATCATTCTAATATCTCAGCGAATGCCCAGTAACAGTTCACAAGTGTGGTGACAGAGTTTAGAGCTTTAAAGGTCCCACATTCTGCTATTTTCTGATCAGTCATAATGTTGTTTCCTTGTCCCAAACATATCTGGATTTGTGTTTTGTTTCATTCACACATAAACCCTGCATATATAGGCACCACTGTGTCTTTAAACTCCAAATACCTTCACGTCAATCATTTTAATAATTTCAATCCTGAAAGGGGGCAGGTAACATAAGATTACTCTTCTTTCTGCTCCTTTTCATTAATTTCTTGTATGTTTGATGTTGTGACACTGTTGACATCTTTTTATACTTTATGAATGAAATAAAAATAAAGAAATAAAAACAAATAAAAAAATTAAATGCCAGTGTTTATTGAACAAAAGCGAAAAGATAGCTGTTAACTTGAAAACTGCATGGCATCACAAGGTGGAACAGAGCGTTTTGAGCTTTGGAGATATAGGTAATAATGCAGGATTGCTCAAACATGTGTGAATGAAACGAAACACAACTTCAGGTTTGTTTTTGATGAGGTAAAACATTATAATATGGCTTAAAGCTCACAAGAGTTAGTTTTGCGTAATATAGCACCTTTAAAAAATAGCAACTGATATAAACAAACAATTTCAATAAGCAAAATCATATAATAAAGATAACATTACTACTTGAAGAGCAGAGACTGTTGGTAGAAAGTGACTGAACTACTGTATGTGTTAACTAAAATGAATGTGAGAAGTGAAAAGATTGGACAAATTGTGGTGGCAAGGTGAGTGCTTGAGACCTCTGCTAAAATTCTATAGTTCTCCGCTGGACCAAGTGAGAAGAGGTCTTAGAAATCGGTGCATGGTTTATGAACTCAAACTGCTTTGCATATATACACGTGCACCCAAATGAATCTCCAAAACCTCATTTCCTTCTTTATATATAGTGCTTTCGTAGGCGAGCATCAGTCACTCTGTTGATGTGGGAGTATCTAAACCAAATTTATCTACAATCTGAAAGGTGCCCATTATTTCTGTCATTCAAAGTAAGTCTGTGCATATGTTTAAATAAGTCACCCCTTCAGGTCAACAACAAACTGTGACAGCGAGAACCAGCTTATATCAGA